ACATTGAAATGACTTTATAGAAGACGTTGATCCATTCACAGTTTTGACGACGTCTAAACAGTCTTGTTGACAAAGTGTTCACACTTGCCAACTCTGGCCATAGCTATCATGCCGATTTGCACATATGCACGTATATTTCTCTAAATAAACAATTCCAAAATGTTAATACTGTGAAAATGATGTAGACTCATTTTGTCCACACTGGGCCGCAACAAGAATGGCGTTATGAACATTGATTATCAGAGTTTGAACAAGGATATCTTACTCTCTCTCTCCCTCTTTCTCTCTAAGCTTCTTGATATGACCACCTACATGTAAAGATATTTAAACTTAATCTTAATTTCAGGAAAATTTCGCAATGTTTTCATTTCATCTTTACTGTAGTACACGTTGGCTACAGTGAGCATGTTGAGATTCGTCGTGTGCTTGTTTCACAGTGTGTTTACACAGACGATTTAGGACAATAATTTGTTGTTTTTTTCTTTCCTTTTTCCACTCAAAACAGAATATTCACAATTGTCAACATGATAGTTTTTGCCACAAACAAAAAGAAAACTACTAAAATGCAAACAAATTTTGTTTTAAAACAATATACATTCATGAGAAAAACAATTATCATTATAGTCATTTGAGTTTTGAAAATAAATTATAGTTGTTTAGAGAAAATTTGTCCTGACAGAAAAAAAAAAGTTTTAATTAAGTAGTGTTTGACGGTATTCGTGCGATATGTAGCCATATAACAACGTGTTATCACATTGTTCTTATCCTATGGGACGCTACTTCCATTGTTTGTGTATGTGGTTTCACGGCCAAACGGGGGAAACCCCTATTTAAAACAAAATTGGTTGAACGATATCAGTTACTCGGATCTTAGGGACCCTCATGTTTACTGTGTTTTCCCGTTACCACTGTATCTACATGCATTATTCAACCGGATAAATTAGACGGGAATTAGATGTGTTAAGTTCCATGTATTCCATGTTTAAATCTGCCCGTTCACAATTTGTCATTATTCTTATTTCTTCGAATGTTTACTTTTTTAAAGGAATAATTATAAATTGGAGACGTAGATATACCCTTTGGTCATATGGAGGCTAGTATAAACCATATGCAGACATTTAAAGCTACTTTGAACAAGGAATATACAGCTTTTACGATACTAAACTAAAAGTATGCACTCTTAAAACTGAAATGTTAAATGTCAATTTAAAAGGGCCGAGGAGTGACCACTCTTTCAAAGTGTCAGATTCTTTCTTTTAACCTGCTAGATTCAACCTTTATAGTGTTGGATACAGCATGTTCAAAGTGTTAATCTACCATTTTGAAAGAGTGGTCACTCCTCGGTCATTTTAAATGGTGATTTAACATTTCAGTTTTTAGAGTGTGGACTACTTAGTCAAAACGAAATACTGCTAACGTGACTTATAGCGAATATTTGGAGTCAAGGGTTGTTTAGATGTGCACATTGTGTGTTATATCTGTCATTACTTGTTCTTACAGCCTTAAAAACATATTTCAAAAATTGATATCAATTTGAACCAGCCATGATTAATTTTCACTTGGTGCGATGATAAACATTTTTCCTATATACCACAAACGATATCTTTTAATTCATGTGACTTATGTGATAACCTACAAAACTTTACCCACTGGACTCTACAAATCATTTTAGTATTTGAGTCTTCAGTCTTTCAGTATTAAAATAAATAATACTACTTCTTTACTGTACTTTTCAGTCACTTCATTTTGGCTAATGCGAAACATTATCACCGATCACCTTGATCTAATCGATTGCCCTTCCGATCGTTACATCTTCACAGATTAAGCGCGGGAAAAAGGTGGCAACAAATTATTCTCTTCACGTCTGCTCTTAAGCTGTTCGTCCAGTGAGCAAACAAGGCCGCGTACATCCACGTGATACGTGACACCAATTTTATAAAATCATAAAATATGAATTTCTTTGCTTAATCCTTTCCCGTTGAAAGGCGTGTTCAGTCATTTAATGATCTCACAACCTTGAAGGGTTGAAGTGCACCTCAAGGTCAAGTTGAAGGTCAAAGCAATCCTGACGTCACTTTAAAAGAAAATGTAACCTTAGATGTACTAGCTCTGTGTGTATCGACAGACATTTTTAGTTTCTTCTTTAATAAGAAATTCTCTTTTAATAAAAAACAACGAAGAGAATTAAGCATCCAAATCTTACATTGCGCGATCTTTGCATGATATATCCTTGTGCACGACCGACGGATTATAACTAGAATGGCATGAAAACAAATGCATTCTACATACACCTTTAATACTACCTACAAAATATTTAAGCAATACATAAATGAATGTAATATTCCGGGAAGCAAGTAATGGGTAAACCGTTTGTATAGTTACATCACAGGGGTTAAGGTCGCTGACCAGAAATTCCGTCTGGGAGGTAACAGCAATAGCAGTGACTACACCAGAAAGATCACGGTGTCTACAAAGTCCAAGAATCCATGTGCTATTTTGATTGGCTATCACGATTTCGATTCATTCATGATGCATTCAAAATTGCCTCGATGATTTGAAAGGGGGACGCAGAGGTAATTGGCGAAAATGTGGATGGAAATTGAAGAATAATACTGAAATGGAACTGGGTAGATATGTATTCATGTGAGCATGGTCTGCAGTCAATTGGCAAGATAATGGTATCAACATTGAGAGGGTTCCGACGTGAATCTTTAAACGGTCATTCACTTCTTAGATCTACACTGAAATTGCTGATCAGCTTGACAACAGTGCCCACAAAGGGAGGAAGAATGGAGGACTCATATTCTGAGATATAATATCAGGAGTGTCGGCAAAATGTACAATGCACATTATTAGGTAGCAGGGGAGGTGGGGCTGCACCCCTGGCAAGTTAATGAAGGTTAAAAACAGTATGAAACACGATTCTGTGCCAATGGTAGTACGCCGTAATGTAATATAGATGATCAACGTCTTTCTTGGAAGATAGAAATTGAATGATAAAAAATATATATACCGAACCTCTAGTTCGATTTTGCTCTCAAATTCCTTTGGCATGTTTGGTAGATGTGGTAGTTAAGCCTTATCATTAATTTATAGGATTCCACCACATTTGGTGCAAATTTCTTTCTTTCTTTAATTGTTAGAAGCCATATAACAGCGAGTCAATAACACCTCGGCACATCCGGTGATCGGTAAAGTTTAGATTGAAAGTCTTGTTTTGCATCCCTTGTTTATATTCGATTTCCCTTTGATTAAGGCCAACCTATAGGAGTGAATGACCGTATTGCCGATACTATATGGGTTAATCCTCTTCCCAACACAACTGGGGAATCAAAAGAAAACATTCGCGTTGATACCCTCATCAAACTTGTAATGATGATCGAAATGATATACAGAGGAGATAGGCATGCAGGCGATATAGGGGGTATGACAAAACAAAATACCCATATGCACAGAATTACGATTGGCACCTGCTCGGCGCAAAACGGGAAATTAAAGAACGGCAGCTAAGGAAATCAGGTAACCCTAAGGGCCTTCAGTTCAGTCATGTCTGAAAGAAGTTCCTTGATAGGATAGGGCTACTGTCACGTCTTTAGTCGGAGGTTCTCTAACCTCTATCAAAAAAAAAAATGGCGGGCCATATTTTTGCGCTTGGCTTGCCTAATGTTTGCCCGGATCCAGTCGAAATATCATTTCATTTGGCCATGCGTGTAATGATAGCCGCTTCGGCGAGCGCGATCTGCCAAAAGTCAGTTATTGCAATATTTATGTGTCAATTTTATGAGCTGTAATGAATATGATATGTCAATGTATATTTCAGTCCTTGTCTTGTTCTCTCTCTCTCCTTTATTTGTGTATGTTGTTTGTTTTATTCTCTCTCTCTCTCTCTCTCTCTCTTTCTCTCTCTCTCTCTGTCTGTGTAGCTCTACCTCTCTCTCTCTCTCTCTCTCTCTCTTTCTCTCTCTTTCTCTAATGCTCTACCCCTCTCTCCCATTCTCTTTCTAATGATTTAACACCCCTCTCTCTCTCCCTCTCTCTCTCTCTCTCTAATGCTCTACCCCCTCTTTCTCTCTTTCTTTAATGTTCTACCTCCTCTCTCTCTCTCTCTCTCTCTCTCTCTCTCTCTCTCTCTCTAATGCTCTCTCTCTCTCTCCCTCTCTCTAATGCTCTCTCTCTCTCTCTCTTTCTCTAAAGCTCTATCCCCCCTCCCTCTCTCTTTCTCTAAAGCTCTCTCTCCGATATACTCTACCTACCCCTCTCTCGATCCTCTCTCCCTCTTCTTCATATCTAGACTAACTTTCATTTTTCCTCCATCTGATTGTCTGGCATGGCATTCTCTCCTCTTTCAGTTTTCAGTTCGTTGACTTCGTATTTATCACAATCCGATGATCATCTGTTTTATTAATAGAAATATATTATAAAGGGTATCGACTTTTGTCAATTATTGTCATTTTATCGAGTGCGTTGCGACTGTCTATACGTGTCCCGTCGTCCAGACACGGGGTGAATCTCCTGTTTGCCCGTGTGGTTTGGTTTTTAAACCACTTCTGCGATCACAGTAACGATAATAAAGATAACGGAGAAAATTAGACTTATAACTGTTTTAACTATTATGATCCTAATCGTGTTGTTAATTATGTGTGTCTGAAAATTAACATTTTTAATCGTAGGATTGCGTGACATTGATTTTTTACAATTTGTTCCCCTCCTATTCTGAAACATCTTACAATATGCTCATTTATTCGTGGCTGGGGTAGAAGCCCTAAGTGTACGGGAAATTTAATATTTAATTGGATATTTACAATTTAATGTTTTCTTTTTGCTTGTGCAGATCGTCACTCATTAGCGAGTGTTTCATTGGGCTACTGTGACTCATAAAGGTTAACAATAAACTTGAGTTCTGGTAAAATGCAATCGCATGACCAGAACTCAACTTTATCTTTAACTGTAGAATTATACTCATGAGGCGTCTCACCTTATCTCCCCCAACCACTCCGCAGGTATAACGACCGTCCTGACAATGACCACCATCAGCACGGCGGTTCGGCAGTCGCTGCCCAGGATCTCGTACGTCAAGTCAATCGACATCTACGTCATCACCTGCTACTCGTTCGTGTTCGCGGCCCTGGTCGAGTACGCCATCGTCAACTACAACTACTGGCTGGAGCAGAAGAAGAAGGTGAAGGAGGCGCACGGCATCAAAAACAACCCTACGCAGAACAGCAATAATAAAAAACCGCCTGAAGTAAGATATGACCAGGTTTGTAGAAGTGATTGCAATAAATTGCATTTTTGCTTTCTATCGAGTTATGTTTCATGAAATAAATGGAATCCATGGAATAATTTATAAAGCAAGTTATGTCTCAAAGCCCTAAATGAAAACAATTAGTTTTCATTTTGTTTGCTTCTCAATTTTTTAGACAGCGATGAAAATAAAAAGGCTGGTTCCTTTCTCAAGAAAAAAATATTCTTTTTTTAATATTTGCTGTAACCAATTAGTTTAGGATCTGGTATCCTCCCCCCTCCCCCCACCTCCCAAAAAATGACTATTTATATTTATTTTAAAAATGCAATTTACATGTTATTCCAAATCACACTGTCTTTCCTAATGTTCTACATTTAAATCTATTATTGTCTACAGTTACAGCAGTTCAACCCTCAGGTTGCACTACGGCTTTCCCAGGTCGATTCCGAAGACGACATCCTCGAAGACGATGAAATGAAGAACAGCATGGGTATGGACGCCCTCAACGGTAACGACCGCGGTCATCGCCGAACGTCGCTGACGTATAGACCGCAGCACCGGACCAACGCCCAAAACAACGCGCGCAATAACACGGCATACGGACCGCGTTACACGAACGTCAACCCGAGCATCACTAGACGTCGAAAAAAGAAACCGAAGAGGATCCGAGTGTTGCCGAGGATCCGAAATGTAAATACAGTCGACCGAGTGTCGCGAATCCTCTTCCCGTTTTTGTTTTTATTATTTAATGTATTATATTGGGTCGGGTATCTCTACGTGTTGCCTAATAGGTCAAAAAATGAATAGTCGTCATACATATATCAGCATTAAATAAGTTACATGTATTAGATACATTATATCTTCACAGTGTAGTTATTTTATAGTCGGAGCAACGAAGCAATTACTCGGTTTTCTTTTTTTTTTTTACTTATGAATTACACTTAGCCTAAAGTATACATTACATTGCAAGTTAGATATTTTATACTATCATACGAAAAAAAAATCATAAACATCCATAAACATGTGAATGCATGTTTAAGAAAAAAAAAACATTATTGCATACTCCGTACTGTAAATTCTACACCATATAATATTTGCGGTATCATTGTTTTCATTTCAATGATGGAAAAAAACGCTGGGATGTGTACTTGCATTAATCTTGAGTGTATTTCGGAACTTGACCCCATGATAAACTTCCTACGAGTGTACGTTTCAGATATGGATATGTGGAATATAATGTTGCCATGGTAACAATATTAAGGTAATAATGTATGCATACTTAAAATGTGCCACCCTAAAAATATACCAATGCTCTTGTAACTCAGTAGTTTTCAGCTATTTATTCCCAATTACATTTAGATTACATTCCTCCCATTATGTCCATTCGGATGACTATGCTATGCCAATGTTATACCAGCAGGTGGATATATCCCAAAGGAGAACATATAGGGCAGAGAAGGAGGGCGAAAAAAGAGAGTTTGGGAAGCAGAAGAAATTGAAAGAGATAGAGAGGGGGAGAAACAAAGACAGGAGAAGCAGAGACAGAGAGGGAGAGAGAGATATAGGGGAGCAGATAAAGAGAGCGAAAAAATGGGAAAGCAGAACAAGATTGAGAGAGAGAGAGAGAGATAAAGAGAGAGAGAGAGAAGGAAGGGGTGAAGGTGGAGAGAAACAAAGATACAGCTATTGGGAGAAAGGGAAAGTGGAAGAGAACTAAAGAAATTGAAAGTAGATAGAAAGGAGAACAAAAGGAAAGGAGAGTAGAAGACGGGGGGGGGAATAGAGAAACACAAAGAGGGAGAAATTGGGTGAAATAGAGAGAGATAAATGAGGGATGGTGCAAAGTTAAAGTTTTAAATGAGGGCAGGGAGAAAAGAGAGAAATAATATTAATAGCTGGAATATACAGGGAGAATGTGTAAAGAGGAGGAGGGAAGTAGAAGGTTATGAAGTAGATTAGGGAGTTGGAGAGAGAGGTAGCTTAAGACAGAGAAGGAGAGCAGAGACGAACAATGTCAAAAAGAAAAAGACAGAAAGGGAAAGATAGAAGAGTAAAGAGAATTGGAAGCAGAGAGAGAGAGAGAGAGAGAGTGAAATGAAAGATGCAAATAGAGAGAGAAAGAGAGAGAGATATAAGAGGCAAAAAAAGATAGAGAGAGATGAAAGTGGCAAATAAGAGAGAGAGAGAAAGGGGTGCACTTTTCATAGCTTTAGTAATTTTTATTTGGTTTCCCGCTAACCCTCTTTCGTCCCAAGGAATTAACATTAAAAGTCTTTGACCCAATTTTCTTTCATACAGTCCAGAAATTAACTTGGTCCACTTTTTCTCGAATTGAATAATTTCAAGGGTCGATTGTTTTCAAATCTTTTTTCATCTCAAGTCTTCAAAGTCACCAATAATTTACCTTGTCATATTTTTTGTTGGTCAAAGTTGAGTGAGGCCATCCACTTCACGCGAACGATGGCCTTACACCCTCTAGCAGCTCCCGGGGAAACCAGGGGGAGACAAATAAAATAACGAAAAATCCTATCTTCCCCCAACCTAACAGGATTTTACGTCCCAATGGGTTTAGGCAAAGCTACCTGGCTTGGCGGTACTCTTCAAACTACAAATCCAACACGGTAAATTGAATTACAACCCGGCAAAGCCAATTACGAAGTGCCATCGTATTACATGCTTTATCCAACTATGAAATTATACGACACAATCGATAAACGTAAGTGCGTTTTGCGCCTTGCAATTTTGTGTCCTGCTTATTTTTAAACAAGCTTCAGTGGACCTGAGTTAGGACCGAAAGCTGATTCTTTTTCAAAGGATTAAATAAATCTCGGCGAATCATTGACTTAATAATATTTGTTTACGTCGACAAACGTTATTGGAAATATGACAAGAATATTTTTCTTGTGGTATCTGATTGGTGGAAAATTGTCACGTGACGTCGGAGACTATAGACCATCAGTGAAGAAGCCTTTCTGACCCCGTAAGAGGCGCTGTTCCTTGTTAAAACTTTACCTTGCAGGCAAAATAATGTCAACGTAGGCTAATGGAATTCTTTTGTAAACCGCAATACTATTGCAGTCATAATACCCGCTATTTTTGTTTTCATCTAAGATGTATTAATTTAATCGTTCGAAATTTTACCAAATAACTTTCTATCAAGTCTTTTCAAAACACATTTGTATCATTGTTATAATATTTCTTTGTGTTAGTCTTCTATTTCTATCCCACTAATAGTTCTCTTTCGCTCGCTCCATCTGTTTATCTCTTTCTCTGTCTGCCATATTTAGTTCACAATTTGCACGCCTTTTCTATAATTTCCACTAGATCTCTATTACTATTTTTTTAAATTATGTTGTTCCATAATATTGCAATGACAAATGTAACTTCATGTAAGTGATCGACTCATTATCATTAATCAAAGAGAATGAAATAAGAAAGGCGTAGAGGGGAGAGAGAGAGAGAGAGAGAGAGAGAGAGATAAGTGGTGGGGTGATGGATGTTGTAGCCTGGGAGAGAGAAATAGAGAGAGAAGAGTCAGATAGAAAGAGAAGAGTCAGATAGAAAGAGAGAGAGAGAGAGAGAGAGAGAGAGAGAGAGAAGTGGAGGGGTGAATAAGAGAGAGAGAAAGTGAGAGAAAAGTCACAAAGAGAGAGAGAGAGAGAGAGAGAGAGAGATATATAAAAATAAAAAAATAAATAAAAAAAAAACATTGCATGGGGGTAAGAGAAGGTATATATCAGATAGGGATGAACCAATCGTGAACAAATGTATGAGTGTAAGATCAACAGCTACTGCAGACTGAAGTTTATTTGATATCACAGCAGTTTATGCATTTTTAACAAATTATCTTGATACACCAAATATATTATTTACAAGCGCCACTCATAAGCTCATAATAACATAATTTGTATGTGTAACTCTTGAGCTTTGTTTTTTGTTTTTTTGTATGAAAACCAGTTCATTCGAGGTAAATTTATTTATCATGCAAAACTTAATGCCTTTTTACTCATCATCAAATTTTCTATTACAATGTAGGCATATAGATGTGAGTAATACTACCTGTATGTCCCCATGTGTACACTCCATCAATGTAAACCCTTTAATGATAATGTTGTCACGATGGTTACTTGGTATTACCAATAGTTACATACAATTTGTTACACGGCTTTGTAGAATATTATGTTGGGAGAGAGGGAGAGAGACAGCACTTTGAATTTGTTTATCAGATACGTCATCAGGGTTATGTACTATATGACACATATTATTATGACGTTATAACATATATGACTAGATGGAGTATATTTTAAATTAAACGACATGTGTAGTGTTTATGTGAAAAAAGGAATTTCGTAAAGTGGGGACTCGACAAATAAGATGATTACAAATGACAATTATTCTTTGGTGTGACTGAAGTGGTATCGATTATCCATATTTTATAAGATGATTACATTTGTGATAATTATGATTTATATTGCAGTTTAACAATCCACCTTGCTACATGTATTTCAAGTAACCACACCATCATCATCATGATTATAATCAGTCTTGAAACTCTCGGATTGCATTTATATGTGCTGTAAACATGGACAGTCATGTACAAAAAATATTGTCTTTCGCTGATATCCGCAAAACAGCATGATAAAGAACTAGAAGTATTCCGATAAAGGACAAAGCAAAATAATATCATTATATTACTCGTCAAAATAGTTCAAACGAAGTAATGGGTATATACTATCAAACGCTTTATATCACAGTTGTAATCAAAAGTAATCTAAAACACCTATTAAAAAAGCTTTAAACCCCTTTTTGGAACGCTAATTTATACCTTTATTGGAAATTGGAATGCCTGACGCGATGTTTCTTGTCTATATATTTGTTTGTAATTATACGCACTCTGTATAATTTCAACATCATGTTCGTGTTTCGTTAATAGGAAAATAACGCATAATTGGTCATCATCTGTTCGATTCTACCACCAAAAAATACACCCTAAGGGCAACTTCCATTTAAGACAACTACCACCAGGGACATGCAGTATTACTACCCCATATGGAAAATATACCCGGGCAGGGAGTAGGGAGAAGGGGATTGCCCAAAAATATTAACATGATGTATTCTGTGAAGCTCCCCCCCCCCCCCCCACCCCCGGTTATATTTATAACGCCCTTGGCAACTCTGCATATATGGGGGAAATAGTTGTTTTAACAAGAAATGTATCACGTTTCTGCAATGCTTATTGATTGCGAAATATACTGTTTGCTTGGGAAAAATACAATTTGAAAAGCTGTACCTGTTTTAAACGGATCAAGCGCCATTATGGCACCATCATTTTTTCTTCTTCCTAACATTGATTTCTATGATTTCCCCCAGCACTACTTACAAATGACAGATATATATTACGAGTATAATCCTTTTTCGCTTTAATCACCATTTGCTTTTTGAACAATGACATCAGTTACAATTTTAAATACGCAAATTTGACATGTTTACTACCGAAAACTTTCCAACTTAGCATATTACTTCACGTTCATGAGTTAATGTCTTCAAATAATCGATAATGTACGCATTTTTTTTTTAAAGAAGTGAGAGACGGTGAATATTTACAACAGTATAAGAGTATGATAGACATGTCTATTGATATCCTAAGGATCATCTTGATATCGATAGTGCATTTTAGCCCTTTCATTTTACGTTTTATACTTTGGCATGGAATGAGGTTTTTTAAGCCTTAATTCATAAATATATAGAATAAATATATTATCATGTCTAACACTATATCGTGTCAATATTATATAACTATGTACAAAATTTACATACAATGCTTGTGATTTTATCTATAAGAAATAAACTGTTTTTCTTATAAAACCGAACATCTGCTCTACTGTGTTATTTGTACGTTAACTTTGTACAGTGTATTTATAGGTAATGTTCCATCATCATCATTTCCGTCATCATCATTACCATCATCATCATTATCATTCATTATCTTTATCGTTACTTCACCGTTATTTTCATAATTACCATACTTATTCTTATTCTAGTTCACATATATTTATGTTGAATAACTTTAAAGATCGTTGCAAAACAATACATTTATCTACAAACGGTCAAATTAAATAGATGCAAAGTCCCGTATTCTTAACAAAGATCTGTAATAGCGGATTGAGCTACACCTAGGTGATTGAAATAAATGTTTTATGAAGCATCAAGAGGCGACTTTTTTATCCTTTTATAATTAATTAATTGTGTTATAAAAAGGGAAAAAGATTGACAAAATTAATTTCATTGATATATAGTTTTTGCTTAGGCAGTTATTGACAGAAATGTGATAATGAGAACTAAGAGAATCATTAAGGTATAATACACATGCATGGCCATTTGTTGTTCTGCATGTCAGAGATAACTTCAGCCATGTTCTCCTTCTATTTCTTGGTCGTTTCTTTGTTATTGGATTGTCAAACATCGGTATGAGTTACTGCACTCCCTGCACTGCCTGACTTCTTCTTACTGAGGGCGCTATTCATATTTCCTTCCTCGGAGGCGATCTAGAGCCCAGTGAAAGAAAAGAAAAAAAAAAAACGTTTTGAAGTTTGAAGTTTATTATCCAAACAAAAATTACATCAATATAACAATCAAATGTGAATGTTTAATATTGAGAGGATAAATGGAACCATATTGCAACTCATATCGCTATAAATTGGACAGCAGTAATAACGACTATCAATAGTAATTATTTATGTTGGTTATTTTGAACCATACACAATTTCAGATTTCATTTCATGAAGTTATAATCTTGAATTAAATTAGTATTCTATTAATATCTAAATCGCAACTGATTCATCGCTAAAACAGACTGTTAAGTATTTGTAGACATCCAGGGGGAAACAAACGACTGCAGATAAACAATTGTCCAAACTATATATACTACGAAATATCATTTTGTTTGGAAATTTCAATATGTTCCTCAACGTATGAAAAGAGATTTATTTGTATTTTTTTACTACTCATGAGAGTAAATTATAAAATCTTAAGTTCCCCCTCTATCTCTAAAAAAAACAACAAAAAAACAACAAACAAACAGACATTGCCTTTGTGGATTGTACTCCTTAGTTAAGGATTCTTAAATTACTTGTGGACAACAAAACACAGTCGTTCTGATTATCTTGTTCAGAGATTTATGTTACAGTGTATTGGGGGATTTTAGTATTATCGCATACGGGCAAAATTTACTGTTAAGAGTATTTTAGTCATCAAAATACAAGCCTACTATTAAAGGTACTATGTCCCATTTGCAGGCCCCAAAAATGAAAAAGTTAAATTCCAACTGCATTTGAAAGATAATACTAATTTAGAACTTCCCTAAAAAAGGTGGGGCTTGAAAATGTCTTCAAGTGGAAAAATAACGACTATTAGTTGTCAAATCGACTTTAGGGCTATAGAGCCCAAAAGTAATAGTCTTGATTTTCAGACAATTGTACCGAATGGTCATACGTTTTATGCTGCGCAAAGATTCAATCAGTTTAATCTTGGCTATCACGAGAAGTGGGTTATTGATGTAGACAAATGCTCATGGACCCTTTACAACTCTTTTCATGTATGTTATTACCAAAGAATAAAAAAAGCCAGTCAGTCACTCAATAGTGTCTGACAGTGAAGTCTAGCAAGTAAACGGGTTTCCTTGCATAATTTGAATATGAGGACACTGATAACGTTTAAATTTCACAGATAGGACAAACATGACATATTCATAATTCCTGCAAAGTTCTACAGAATTTGAGGTTGGCTGCAAAAGGGACATAGTATTGAGTATATGAGCCTATACATATTTTAAATACATTGGATGAATATTTTCTTATAAAGGTCCATCCTTGATGAAATGTCGATTAGGAATTCTAGGAATGGGGGGGGGGGGACCTTTAACTCACTGAGGGGACGATTGACTTCTGCGCAGTGGCGGGTGTAGACAACTCATCAGTGCCTGTCTCGGATATGCCGTCAGAGGGCGATTTCGTGGGAGCAGGCATGCTACGTCGACGGAGGGACGCTACCAATCTCTCCTGTTTCCGAATTCGTTGAAGGATGTCGCCAAATGATCGGAGGATGTTTGAAGTCGTAGGATTTTGGAGGGAAAAAAGAAAAGATAAGAATATTTAGATTAGTATTGAACCTGATCCTGGCTAAGATTAACACGTTTTATAATCTGCAACATCGGCGCTTTCTGAAATCAAAAGTTAATTATCCAAAACGGGCATCTCAGTGATTTTAGATTTTACATTTAGATACGTCGAAATGATTTCCTTTTTTGTCCTACAATGTTCTCCCCTTTTAGCAGTTTGATCAAACAGTTGCATGTATATTTAAGTTCAAGAGTTCAAGAATTCTGCATGCAGAGCCCTTTCAGGCTGCCTACTTACAATAAAAAAAGAGTAGATTGCATGTGCTTCTTGTGGGAATTGCCCTACTATCGTATGAGACGGGAGGTTTCATCGCAGCCAGAGAACACCAAACAAGAAGACAGCCCCCCTCCCCCCTTTATCATCAGTGACAAATGACAAAAATCAGTGACAAATCTGCTGATAAACAATCAGAAGCAAGGATTTCAGTAGCTTATAACAAAAACTGTCATCTGTTACTGATGACAAGATTTTTGAAATGCCCTCCATGGACCTGCAATTTCTACTCCAGGGCCTCGTCTTTAACAAAGAGTTATTGATCCAAATCAATCGCAATTTTGCAGTCTCTTATCTTTATGCACATAGTTCTGATTGATATCAAATCTTTGTAAAAAAGTGCCTTCGGGGGGGGGGGGGGCATTTAAAAAACTTGTCATCAGTGACAGATGACAGTTTTTGTTATAAGCTACTGAAATCTTTGCTTCTGATTGGTTATCAGCAGATTTGTCACTGATTTTTGTCATTTGTCATTGAAAAAAAGGCTTTGTGAAACGGGCCCCTGATCTCTCTTTTTGAACATTAGTTCATGCTTACATGTGCAATTCTTGCACGGAGGTTGAGCCACATCCTTCGGAACCCACACGAGCTAAGTTCATTGCGGACCTGCTCTTTTGACCGGTAGACGAGATCGACGATGGACACGAGTAGAGCTACAGCCGTGCCTGCCAGGAGGATGTAGAACACACCAGCAAGTTTGTCCAGGTTCAAAGCTCGTGTCTCAGTCTGTGATGAAGAAAACAAAAGTATTTTATTTTATTTTATTTCAACACAAATCAATTGTTCTTCTGCAAGTCCGTGAGTGCATAATTCATTGTAAATTCATTTGCGAATACAAACCTTGTTGTTTGGAAGGGATATTGTTTATTTGAACCATAACAGACACCCCACCCCCCCCCCCTTTGCTATGCCCCAGTCAGCTCCTATGTAAAATTATGTGGAGGGGGGTTATTATGGAAAAGGACAGTTTTTTTCTTTTTCCACTTGTCTATCGGCCAATTTTGTTCATAGCAATAAGCAACAACAAAAAAAAAATCAAAATCAAAAATCAAAAACCAAAACAAATCAAAAAATATATATATATATATTAAACAAAAACAAAAAAAATAAATAAATAACTAATCAGGAGTTTTGAAAGGCATATGGAAAGAAACAAAACGTTTTTCTCAAACATGAATACCTGCCTTTTAATTTATTTTGTTCTCCCCTTCCCTATTATGATTTCCCGGATGGAGCTAAAAAGTGTACGCCAATTGCGTCAATATAGCATACACTTACTGCGTCTGTGGTGTCTTTGACGCACTGCGATCTATTCACCCAGTATTTCTCTTCCAGCCGTCGCAGGGTGTCTCTTTCTCTCAACTCCAAGATGGCCACTGTCAGTTCCTTCCTGTTTCGAGACGAGGAGGGAGAGATCAGACCACACTTTGGGTAAAAGGACAATCTTTGTCTCTAAGACTAATCAAAATACGATTTGTTGAAATCTCTAATTTGATATTTTGACCGAAGCGGCGTACATGTAGCTACAGGGACGGGCACAGTGGCACGTACCCCCATGCAGCCAAATGGAAAAGAAAAAAAAAGGGGGGGTGATTACACCTGGAAGGACATTGTCGTTAGAGAGAACGTGCTGTAAATAGTTAAACAAACGAACCGATCAAAATATCATGACACAAATTCATGTTTATTCATGACAGGGGAGGGCGTCAAGCCATCATCATCAAAGGGGAATTCAATATAAATATTTGTTAAAGAAAACGCTCCACAGGATGGAAGTCAAGGACTACCCCCCCCCCCCCCCTCCTCCTGCCCCCCCCCCCCCCTCCTCCTGCCCCCCCCCCCCCTTGGTTGACGCTACAGCCTCACTTACTGCAATTCAACAAGGTGTTTGGACACTGCTATGCCATAGCTACTCGTGCCGATGGGATCCCCTACGGCCATGGTGTCACATGGTTTCTGGGTCTCTCGGTACTCGTTCATCTTGGACTCGAGCAGGTAGGCGTACTTGCCGTCGCTCTCCCGGACACGTCTCACCCCATCTTCGGTACTCTCCGCCAGGGGAGACGGCTCGGTGTTCGCCATGAAAGACCACATCTTGCGGTAGAGCGGACTGCTGGATTTCTAGGGAGTTCAGAAAAGCAGAGAATTTTTTTGCATTTCAATCAAACATGTTCCTGTCCTAAAGAAAATGGTACTGTGATGACTTTTTCTAGCATTTCAATTAAAGGGATCTGGTAACTTTGTCTCAGATTCTTAAACAAAATTCTGGATTTAGCTCATGCTGCAATGATAATTGTAAACCTATGGACGTGTCGTTCCTTTCTATCTATATACGAGGAAGCGAAGCGAAAGAGCCTTAAACAAAAAAGTGGAAATATTCGAAAACACTCACTGCACTTTCGACAGCAACATATACAAATAGGATATAAGAGACCTCGTCCTCTCTGCTAAAATGTAAGGACGCACCAGCGGTGTGTTTCACAAAGATTAAGATCGTTCATACCACTAGGTCCTCTAACCATTCCTGGCATTGGTTTCTTAAGGGACGACAAATCATGGTCACACATCTACAGAATTTACATTTGTTGATAATTCTTTATTGAAAGAAAACATATTATCTTAAGAAATTAATTGAGAGAGCAATGGTGAGAGCAACCAGTGGCATAAATGGCCTGCCATAGTTAAAAAAATCCGACTTAAAGTCGATCTTAATCTTTGTGAAACACCCTCCAGGTTAGATATACATGTAAGGCAACTGTTGTTCAACATAAGGCAAACTTTAAAATTATGGATGGGGGCGTGACCTGCAGTAGCCCTATAGCCCTCAACAACGCCCCCCCCCCCTCCTTCTCCAAACCGCCTTACACGCCTGCTTACCCTAAAGAACTCGACTGTGGAACCACCCTTGTGGACACCGTACTGAATCTTGGTCTGCGCTGCCAGGTCTTCTGCAGACTTGATGGGAGACTGCATGCTCTGGGTGGTGAGGAACGCTGCAAGGTTGGCCGTGTAAGAGGAGATGATGATGAGGGTGAAGAACCACCACACCCCACCCATGATGCGACCAGAGATGGACCTTTATGATGATGTTGTTTAAGAGACACACAAACATCATGGTACGAAGTCATGCAAACTATATAGGACAACAGTATTCTGTGGACAAGTTACCCCGGACAAATACCCAAGATAAATCCCCGGACAACTTCCCTTTGGTCAAATATACAATCATCGGACTATAATGATAATAATAATGTTCCGCTTATATAGCGCTATCACCTTCAGACAGCTAGCGCCAGTGGGGTAATACAAACAATTTGGCTTTATCTTTTTTATGTATTTGTTATGGTCAGTGGTTGTTATCAGGAGGATAACTGTTCTAGGTATAGGGTATAAGTTGTCCAGGTGGTAATTGTCTAGGGAGTGCTTGCCTTGAAAAAGTTTTATTGGGCCACGCATACACATACGATTTCTTTTTTTAAACAAAAGTACAAAAAAACTGGCATGCATTCAGTAATAAAATGCTAATAAAACCCAAGACATTAATGTATACATGGTTTCTGAATAAATACGGCCGAAGCAAGGTATGTAGGCATGACTTCGATTTAATAAAATAGACAGACACAAAAAAAAAAGATTCAGGATGTAAGTTATACACGAAAGTATCTAATCAAGAACCCCTATTCCTTTTTAAACACAACGCTGTCCTTTTGTGGCGAATGGAAGTTAGCAATTTTAGGAAAAATATGGATGATCAGATTTTGTTGTCAAGAAATGCAATGCTTATTCCTTGCGTGGTAGAAAATTGATGTTTACACCCTCTCTTTAATTATTATCAATATTATCATTTTTATTGTAATTATTGTCATTATTATTGTTGGTATAATTATTACTGTAGGGGTGCATTCCTTTTTGTTCTTTAACAAGAAAAGGAGAAGCTCGCGCATATTATCACATTATCTCTTCCACGTAGTAAGCAGCATGTGAAATAATTCAAAGTTTGTCGAAGCGTTAAAAGACAAGGAAAAGTATGGATGATCAGGCAAGATTGTTTTACTGTCAAGGAATTAGATGCCTGTCTATTCCATCCGTTGTTGAAAATGCACGCTGTTATTATTATCATTGACTTCCTTTAGGTGGGTAAGGGGACATGATTCTGACTTTTAAACGTGTTAAGTGTTAAGAAATTAGGGGAACCTCGTGCCCTTTATCTCATAAGCTTTCCCATAGGGCCCGTTTCATAAAACTTGTCATCTATAACAAATTCTAAATTTCTGTGACAAATTTGCTCTCAACCAATCAGGTGCCATGATTTCAGTAGCTTATAACAATAGCTTGTAACTTGTTATTGATATCAGGTTTTATGAAACAGGGTCTAGACTACATGTATTTACCGTGGTAAAATGTCACTCCCTTGCTGCATGAGGGCGCCCAAGGCAAACCAGAAACTGTTCATGACGTAGAAATCGTTGGTCCATTTCACACCCTTGCCTGCCCCTGTGGCTCTGTTGCCATTGGATACGTCATCAGACGATGAGTTATCCGTTTCGATTCGCCATTCCGCGGTACTGAAGCGACATATCTAGGACAGGAAAAATTACAATAAATGTTGATTGATACAGTAAAGCCTGGATATAAAGACGAGCCAAGGATGCCAGGTATATCAACGGGTACAGTTGGTGTCAAGTGGTCTCTGTTTGCAGGATCAACTAGTACGTGATTCATTGATGGAAACTGTTCAGGGGGATAACAAATACTGAATCATGTCTCCTAGACAGGTTGTCTTTCTATACAGTTGGATGCTCAATCAGGTGACCCTGCACATTGATGGCAGGTAGCAATTCCTCTTTGTTTCAGTTTGTGTGTTCGTTGTCTTTTTGTTGTTGTTGGAAATGCAGAATACCATACCATAATTAATTCAAATGAATCTAAGTCATGATTGAATGAATCTAAATCATGATTGAATGAATCTAAATCATGATTGAATGAATCTAAATCATGATTGAATGAATCTAAATCATGATTGAATGAATCTTAATCATGATTGAATGAATCTAAATCATGATTAAAAGAATCTAAATCATGATTAAACGAATCTAAATCATGATTAAATGAATCTAAATCATGATTAAAGGAATCTAAATCATGATTAAATTAATACAAATCTCACCTGAAACATGATTATGCTAACACCACACGTTGCGAGGGCGAGACAAATCCATATCTCATTGGTGAAGGGTTGGAAGAAGGAGAAGCCAGATGGACGAGGAGCCTTGCTTTTCTTGACCATGATACTAATGCCGAAGCTCATATAGGGTTTGGTGAAGGCGACCACGCGCTCCCGGTCGGTATTAATTGTGAGAGGAGCAACCGATATATCAGCAGTCTGCATGGAAAAGCACGAACAAGATGTTATTTCTTTTCCAGAACCGACGATGAAAAAATGAGGAGTTGAATTAAAGCTCGGACTTGTGACAATAATTGGGCACTTGCATAATCTGTGTCGCTCTGTCTGTCTACATATATATCTAATAATCTGACCTCTCGTTCCCTTTTCTGTCCCATTCTCTCCCCTTTCCTCCCCACTCGCTGTCTTCCACTCTCTCTCCCTATAATGTCCGAAGAATAATGAAAAGCAAAGGGGAGACTTAGAATGAATAATGATTATTAACAAAAAATTGAAAGAACCATAGCCCCCCCCCCCCCCTTAACAAAATAAAAATGATGATAATAATGAAAATAATAGTGATAAATAAATACATCAATACATAAACAAATAAAAATAAAAATACTAAGGGGTCGGTCTTACATTTTAAACAAAAGTACTACTGGCTTACCCCATACATGACTTCCCCGATCATCCCATCCCATTTTCCATTCCTCTGAAGCGTTCCATAGTTGCCATCTTTGACCAGCTGTATGCGGTACTTGAACGGGTAGATTTCGACGATTTTCTTGAGTAGATCCACACAAAATCCTTCAAAGCGAAACGTTCCATCCGGGAGGGTTACATTCATCAGAAAGGGGTCATCCTTCATAAAAGTTTTAAAGAAAAAAAAAAAAGGAGATTATTTAAAAAAGGCCCTTCTAGTAACACGTATTCCTTCAGCTATATCATAATCTATTTTTGATTTTGAATTCTGTGTGTTAATACTTACCATGCAAATATGCAAGTATTTTTTTGACCCATTGGTTCATATGTAATGACCTTATTGAGGTCATACACATACACGAAAAATATTCAAAATATGACTTCATTTATTAGAAGGTTCAACAACGAAATGCTGAGACATAAGAATAGATGAAATCACATGATTGGTATCAAAATAATTACAGCAAAATTGTTACAATTATTTAGTGTACATTTCCACGATGATGCTGGTTATTCAAAATGAATTAGGAGTTACATACATGTATGTAAGCGGGCTGTGAGTAACGCCCCCCCCCCGCCCCTCCCCCTTACAAAAATGTTTACAAAGTCGGAATTTTTAACGAATATGAGAATTCGACAAATTTATAATTTGTTCGTTTTTTATACTCTGAATGCACAAATTTTGTATTTTATGAGACCGTTAATGAAAATAGAATAAAATAACACGATTACAAATGTAAGTAAATCTGTAAAATAATATTTATGTGTTGATGAGGCTAAGAGGAACGTTTCAAACGGTGTATTCAAACCTTTCTACTTACCAATACTGATGAAATAATGAACGTTCTGTTGTCGTAGTCGTGGCTTCCCTTTCGGCCGTGTGTCTCGCTATCGAAGAAGTAGATTGGAGGGTCGTTGTTCTGACTCCATGTGCCAACCTGGAGCGGAGTATTGTCGGGGGGGGGGAGATATTTAGAGAGGGAAGCAACGGAAGAAAAAGAGAAAAGGTAAAGGTGTTGAAAGATAAATCATCATGTTATCATCCTGTAAGTCATGTTTATATGAAGAGTTTAATTCCATAAGGAGCTAAATCCACGTTGGGTATTTCCACCTTCAACTTTGGATACATGTTAGAGGTAATACCCTTGACCAAAAGTATATGGTTTAAACAAATCTACCAAGTATATTTTATTTTTGCTGAATTTTTAAATATTTGTATTCATTGATTTAGCTCATTTGGAATTAAATATAATTTTGTAGCTGATTTTTTTTTCTTTGAAGATGAAATTCAGAAAGTGATTTAGTGCATTTTATTGCCATGTAGGAAATAAGTATTTGAAACCAACAAAAACTCAATGTTGATAAAAATGGATTTAGCTCCTTTCGGAATCAAGCTCTTCTTATATCTATTGTTTAGGAAATTCCTTCAAGTATACAGAAGTTACTTTACAGTGCGTCCCAGAAAAAACGAAACCGAGAAGTATCGATGTTTTATCACAACTTAATCGAAACCATAATTAATGAATGATACATATTTAGAAAGCTTAGAGTCTCCTCTTTCAGTTGATGCTACTCACGTGATGCATATGTTACGCATGAGTGATTAAAAGCAATTTGAAGGAAGGAAACCAAAAAGTAATTTGGCGGGCGGTATCTGAATTTCAAAAAGCAGATTTGACAAAAGACTTAACTCCGTTTCGTTGACAATCAGCCATGCATGAAGACTCTCGTCTACGGCTGATTGTCAACGAAACGGAGTTAAGTCTTTCGTTAATTTCGTTTATTGATACGGCAGGCAGCCAGTGAAAACGAATTCGTTTAATAAAATCATGGAAATGCAAGCACTACTTTAAACAAACAGAACTTTGTCATTCCTCGCTCATTTTTCCTGATTGAGGTGTCATATGAAAGGGCAGAAACTCAACTTTCTAGAAAAGTGAATTTTTCTTCGAAATTCAGATACCGCCCGCCAAATGTCTTTTTTGTTTCCTTCCTTCAAATTGCTTTTAATCACTCATGCGTGAAATATGCATTATCTGAGTAGCATCGCATGAAAGAGGAGACTCTAAGCTTTCCAAATATGTATCATTCATTAATTATTATTGTGATTAAGTTATAATAGAAAATCGATACTTCTCGGTTTCGTTTTTTCTGGGACGCACTGTATGGAAAAAGAAAAGGGAAAGACAATATAGAGCGACGCAAGGAACAGGAAAAGGGACAGATGGACATAAAGTTATAAAAAGAGTACGTGGTGAAAGGGACGATTTATCGAATTGCATCTGGAAATATCGTTAAAACGTTTAACAAATTTGTTTTATCAATAGCAAGCGTCAAATTTCCACATTAAACTTGTTCATAGCCAATCAAAAGCATCGATTTCAGTAGCTTATAACGATAAAGTTGAGTCCCGCTCATGCGATACAATTGTGAAAGAAACGATGTGGCAGCGATCCTTGCAGTGTACTGCAAGGTTGTGGAGCCATCAAATTGATAATACATTTGGCACAGTCTTGGTAAAAGTACCAAGCTTTGTACACAGAAAGATGTATATGGGACCAAACAAACATGCGGCATAAACATGAGACCCACATTTTAAAGCTGTAACATGACACATTTAGAATATGAAGGCATTTGAAGAGCCATGCTTTCCAGGGACATTTTTGGGCTCTGATGTTCTTCCACACTTGCATGAATAACAATGACAACGCTCATAAATTTATTTATTTTATTCTTTATTTTTTTATGGAACGGGCCCTCATCAATTCTTACCTGCTCCACAACTCCATTGTGAAGTCCGACTATTTGAAGGGAATAGTTGGTTCGTGATCCGTTTCCATCGAATTGAACTCGTCCACTTAATTGATTCGTTGCCGTCTGAACAATCAAAATAAAGCAGAAACGGAGCTTGTCATAATCACACTTATCTTTGGTTACATTTTGCTTTCCAAGCCATATACAAACGTGTCCTATTAAATATTAAAGACAAAATGAGTCCAAATCAGTCCAAGTTGTCATCACATTTATAGGCAGCTTTTTGTTTTACAAGGGTTGCGATATTATGGATTTTCTTTGAAATCAATCTTGTAAATGTACCTATGATATACATGATTTTAACATTACTCTCACTGAGACACATACATAATTCTTTAATAGTTATACTCTTTACCGCCACTGATTACCCTTTAACAAACGTTCATCTTGTTTTACAAAAGACGTGTTCTAAAAAAAATGTTACTACTTTCACGACCTTGTCGAATGTATTTTTGTCTGTTTGAAACCAGTTGAGTGTTAAATCATCATGTTACACAGAATTAGCGCCCTTTGTGCCCCAACCTGGGGTGTTCCATAAAACTGTGCGTAAAGTTACGCATGACTTTACGAAAGAATTGAATATGAAGACCTAAATGGGATCATCAAATCCTTTTAATGGTCATTTTCGTAATGGAACCAAATTTAATGCATAAGTCTTTTGAAGTGCCTCAATACAAATTATTCCATTCACCTGATAAGAATAATAGTATCCAAGCTGCATAATAAGTGTTGCTAGTTAGATCAAGCCATAATGTTTGTGAAGTGCCTCAATACAAATTATTTCATTCACCAATAAGAATAATAGTATTTCAGTAGACAAAGTGCAGACTGCATATATTAAGTGTTGCTAGGTAGGTCAAGCCTTAATGTTTTTCCTACCTGGCAACAATTAATGTATGCAGTTCGGATCCTCTCTATTGAAATATTATTATTATTATCAGGTGAATGAAATAATTTGTATTGAGGCATTTCACAAAGACTTATGCATTAAAATTGGTTACATTACGAAAATGGCCTATTGCATAAGCTGAAGTTGAAATATGCAGATGTAGATTAATCTTATCATTATTAACAAAACATTTTAATGCAAAGTGTATTTTGGGCTACAATTTAATGGAGATTATGGGAAATACAGTCACACTTTGTTAAAATGTCAGGAAAACTGTGGGCATCCCATTTGGCTCTTCATATTCAAGTCATTCGTAAAGCCATGCGTAAATTTACGTACAGCTTAATGAAACACCCCCAGATTAGCTTAACGAACCGGTCACCGAAACCAAATGATGTACTCTGTAGTTCATACAAAATCAATATTTCTGTTTTACCCTTTTGATGGCGTCCAAGAGCTCCGGTCCAACCGTTGAAGCAACAGTCTCGGTGCCTTCCTTGACTTGTTTAAAACACCTGTGGTAGGTATTGACCCTCGGTAGCGGTAACTCCCTGCCGCTCTCGTGGATGGAACGCGCCGCGGATACGGCTACTCTGCAGAGGTCGTGAGCGAGGATGGCCTCGTACTTTGATACAAAAACAAACAAATATATTTAAAATAACGAACAAACAGAAAATACGATTACTGATAACCTACGCCTCGTAAACGTACAACGTGAAGATCTCGATAAATGAAATGTTTCTGCTTTTTCCCATTCAGCACGGGTGGCAGTAATTCTGGTATATCAAACAATGATATTAATTATCATTATTATACTACTGCTAGTATGCTACTACTACTACTAATAATGATGATAATAATTATAATAATTATAGTAATATGTCTTGTTTACCCAGGGTAGCCTCATCGGTGTTAATGCTGTTTTCCCTGAGGGCCCTGCAATCCTGTTTTTACTCCGGCTTTAGCCGAGCTACAATGGAAAGGCGCTCAAGAATTCAAGGAATGATCTTCCGACCGGGTACCCATTTACGTCACCTGGGTGGAGTGTGGCAAATGTAGATTAATACCTTGACAAAAGGCATTAGTGTTGTGGCACTGAATAACAATATTGTTATTGTACGGCACTTGTTCTTGCGACGATTTCTCCGCGGCCATTCCTTACACTATTAAACCGAATTCTTAACTTCAACATTGGATTCCTATAAACCCCAAGTCAAAGGTTGCATCCAGTAGTCGTGCTAGCGATCAGACGCAAATGCCTGTTATCACATTATAAAGCCTCACAAGAAGATGTGAAATTAGTTTTCTAAAAACTATTTTTACCCCCCCCCCCCACCCCCCACACACACCCCTGTTCCCCTTGCTCGTGTTATCTTTACTCTTACAATCAATTATCTATGGTACGCTTTTATTTTGAATTTTGTTATCCAATGTATAACAAATTGAGAATGATCCTATTTGTTTAGATTGAAATCAATAACATTTGAATTTGAATTTGCTGGTTTGCTTGACTGAAATTTTGTCTGAACTGTGCCCCCACCCTCTTGTTAGAGAGAGGGAGAATCCTGGATACGTCCATGAGTCTAAGAAATGTATTTATTACCAAAATAAAAACTCTACTTACCCCTACATTGGAGTTCGCAAGTGTGGGATGAGAGTCTCTGAACTTATCTGACCAATCACCGAATAGATCTTGATACGCTTCACTGCTCTTGTTCGTGATCAGAGAAAAGCCGGTTAGGTTCATTCCTCCAAAGGACATGTTACTGGTGTCGATGGTGTCAAAGTCCTGTGAAAGAACGAAGTTAGACGTACATTAAAGCCCCACTGCACTAATTATGCTACTTGCGCCCTCTATAGAGCAAACAATACCTAAGCGGTGACCATTAGCCCCCCATTGGTCCCCTATTCCGTATGTTAATTGAGAGCTGATTTGATGAGATAACCACCAGTCAGTGACCATGCAGGAAGGTCCAATCCATCCTGGCCAAACTATATAGTGCAGATAGGATTTAAACAAAAGTGGTTATGCCGTCTTCTTATTTCCAGAATGTTGAGAAGGACACTGGTTATCCAATAACTCCAAAACGAAGACGAAAAGAGCATAGCTCCTTTCCCCCACCTAAATTGCATGTATATTATTATGGAGATGTCGCCGATGGCTGAATAGCGCTTTCAGGGCCGAGTATCTTTCTTGCCAAAGTACCTTGGGACTCTGTTGAATTATTAGTTTTATTTCAGATATTAGTTCTATTTTTGATAATGTAATTTAATTCATATTTTATTTGATAAATCAGCTTTTGCGTGGGAGTCTGCTATTTCATTTCCTATCATACCACAATGTCCTCGGATCATGGGATCAAGATATGCATTTATGTCATTTCCATTATATATAAACTTTAGTAGTATTTAGAATTTCTGTAATAATGGGTTCGTCATTTTTTCGTTGTAGAGAAAAGGGTGCGCTTAGTGATTCAGTGAATATAACACCACTTGTGTACTTTGAGATATAAGGTACATATAAAGCAGCTGAACAGATTCCTTTCTCGGGAAGTTTTGATCCGTAAGTAACGTTTGTTGATGACACAATCTGTCTGAATAACTAAAGAGAGTATTTGTTTTTTTTCAGATGGCAATTGGGATCAACTTTTTGTTCATTCGTTTATCATTTGGTTCCAAAGATTGAAGAAGAAAATATGACCAAAGATCTATTCTTTCTCTCTCTTTCTCTCTGTTAGAGATGTGATATCTTTCCCATGTTCGACAATTTTTTTTTAATTTTTTTTTTTACCAACAACCAAAAAGTACTTATGGGTTCGATAAATGTTGTTCTCTCTCTTTCTTTTTGTCTCTCTCTCTATCTCTCTCTATCTTTGTCTTCGAATTTTTCTCTTTCGGTTTCACTCCTAATGACCATGAACAAAAATGAGAAGACTTACCAAATTTAAATAAACCATGTGAAAGGAAGCAGTAACCATCTCCAAATCCAGGGACTGTAAAATTAAAGAAAAGGACATAAAAAAGCAAATCTTTATATCATTACATTATGATGACCATGTTATAACATATTGGTACATTATACGTTCATTGTTAAAGCCTCGGTCACAAATACCATTACGAACTGCTACGAACGCCGTACGAACGATTTTCAGACAATGGAAATTCGGAAAGACAATAGAAAAACAGGGAGATTCGTACAAAATTATCGTTCGTAGGAACCTTTGTGACCGTAGCATAAGTTACATTTTTGATTTTTTATTTGATTTCTTTTTGGAGAGCAGGGCTTTAACAATGGCCTGTAAATGTATTTGTTTGCAAAGACACACCGGGTAACGTTTAATTTTTTTCACTGTGCGTAGCGCATTTTAATATCATAAAACTGTTTTTCTCAGGATTTATGCAAACTCATGGAACATCGCCGATTTTATATGTAAAAGGTGTATAACTTAGACAATATAATGACAAAAAGTTGTTTGTGTTGAATATGATTGCATTAATTAAATTGATTAAGTTAAGAATGAATATAATATTGTATATTTTTTCCCCTAAGAGTGTATTTATTCAGGGGTATTTTATTAAGGATATAATGATGTACCCATTAGGAAAATGAGCTGGATCCGGTTGTACGACAATTTCTTACACTAGCAGAATTCCTAATTTCAACCCAAGGCCCGACACTATACCTAGCCTTAACCCTAACCCATACACTATCCTAAAACACAATTGCACCCCAACTAGGCCTAAAATAAAAAACTTGTTGTATATACAAATATACAAAAATCTATATAAAAAAAAAACGGTTTAAAAACAAAAATGCCGACCGTAGATTTTCATTGGGGTCAGTCGCAAAGGGCAATACAACAAGTTTTTATTTTAGGCCCTATAATCCTAAACTTCTGACGAAATAAAGCCCAGAGCAATTTTCGCCAGAGAAAATGACGGAGTACCGGTGCCCACGTATCAAAACGCAAGGAATATAATTAGCAAAAGCTAAGAGAAATAATTACAGTTCGAAGAACAGTATTCGTCAATGCTAGTCCAGTATCACAGATGATCCTATGTTTCCCGGTGTCCTTTAGCTCGACCAGGGTCTCGTTCACCGTATCGACGTTAATCCGTCGATGTGACACCTCGATTCCCAAGGGACGAATCAGCTCCAAGAAGTTATGCAATCGAAGAAACCCTAGAATGGATAGTTATGAATAGTAAAATTAAGAGGCAATGAAATGTTGGTCATGGTTTTAAGTTCGACGAATATGTATCGGCATTAAAGGTAATACAAAGTTTTGGGAAATTTTGAAAATTGGCTGGATAGTGATTCTTTACAATGTTGATATATGTTGATGCCTATGTGAATGTATTATAAGCTCTAGAAAATTTAGCCCCTAAAACACTTCTGCTTTTGAGAAAAATTGAATATCAACATTTACCGGTGGTACTGGTATATTTTGATAAATTTCAAATAACGCCTACGGCCATACAATGGTAGCTGCGACCATAAAAATCTCAGAATATGTAGTTGTGATATATAATTTCCAAAAGGGAATAGCCAATTGGTTGATTTTAGTCAAGAAACATTGTTTATAGTTACATTCATTTTGACCTTTAGAGGGAGCTATACAACATAAAGTGTTAATTATTTACAAGTTCATCACTTTAGACTCGATTTCAACCGCGACAACGATCACTGAATATTGTAGGATCGCATATGCTTCGAATATGTTCATTTACCAATGACCAAGGCTTAATTCTGAAACTCATGATTTGAAGTACATGTACCAATGACCATTTTTGTCGCTTCATTATCTTTTGCATGTATTTGTTCCTTATTTCATCTATTTCATTCTATAAACGTAATGTATTTATTTCTTGTAATTATGTATTTTGTTGAATATGACTGTAACGCCAGTGGAAAACAATTTTCTATGTAACTTGTTTGCAAAGATCAAATACAATATCTTGTATCTTGTATCTTGTATCTTTTATTTGAACTAAATTCATGATTCCATACCAAAACTTTGTATTACCTTTAAGCGCCACTAGTGTCTGAATGCTAACAACGAAACTGATCACTGAAACACATTATGTTAATTAGTAGTCTTTCTGTACCCAATTACCAATGTTGGTTCCTGGGTCCTGGGCCTTGTGTCCTGAGTCTCGTATATTGAATGTGACTTCAAAGGATCAACCCCAGAGGTGAAATGTCATATCTGATTGACAGATGCTTGAAAACCCCAAATAGCGCACTTACTAATGTTTGTTATTCTTCTTTCTTTATTCATATGTATGGTCCAAGATCAAAACAACAATAATTCAGTCACACCATCGACCAAACCGACACCTCACGTCCTCACCAACAACCCACGACAATCCCAAACGACCAATAATCGGTAGGTGTTTGAGTCTGGTCTAGAGTCGATTTATGGGTCTAATACCGAACGAGACCGTAACTACACCGACTATAGACCGACTACAGACCGAAAAAAAAATTACGAAACCCTACCGGAAACAAAAGAAATGGTCCATTTGGGGTCGGTTTGAAATCGGTAGTGCAGAGCGACTGCGGTATGACTAGGGTATAAGCAAATATAGGCCCACCTGTCTGTCCTTCGTAAACATATGCCAAGCTGGTCCAGTGGAAATATTCGATGTAGTCCACCAATGGCTGCAGTACTTGCGGCTGCATGGCCAGGAGATACTCGGCCGTGAAGTCCGGGTACACGTCCCGAGGGGCGAAACTGGTGATGAAGTATGGTATCTTCACCTCTCGGCTGGCGGACGCGGCGTTGTAGATGGTGGTCACGTCAGCATCACCAGCTATCAGCATGCGGTTCTGACTCAGTGCTCCGCAGACTAAAGGAACAGGAATGTGGCAAAAAAGAAAATGAGGTGATCCGACATTAAACTTCCTCTGCACTAGTTTGGCATGGAGGGATTAGTATGTCTCATGGAAGACCTCCCTGCAAGGTTACTGGCTGGTGGTTATCTCATCAAATCAGCTCTCAATTAACATAAGAAAAGGGCATCATGGGGGCTCAACGGGCACCGCTTAGGCATTGTTGGCTGTATAGAGGGCGCAAGTTGCTAACAGTAGTGCAGTGGGGCTTTAAATGTTCCTCCTGCAACTTGAGTTCCAAGCTTCATTTCGCCAGAGTTAAATGTTTAGGGTTAGGGTAATTACAATTGGGTTGCATGCCAGATGAAGGGTTCCTGTAAGTGGTTATGACGAGGCACTTTACGTGGTCTAGAGTTGAAGTTAGTGATTAGTTAAAATAAATTGATACTGGGGCCCGTTTCATAAAACTTGTTATCTATAACAGCTGCTAAATTTCTATGACGAATTTGTTCTCAGCCAATCAGATGCCAGGATTTCAGTAGCTTATAACAGTAGCTTGTAACTTGTTATTGGTATCGAGTTTGATGAAACAGGGCCCTGGAGCATCTGCAGATAGAGAAGGTGTCGTAGAACCGATAATCAACACACAGAGCACAGGAAGGTGGGTATACTGTGGTAAATTTATGGGGACAAAAATGTACTGAACTAGTTTAGAGAGAGCGGGTGGAGGGGGTAACATCCATGTACATGTAGTATAGAACAGGTCATTTGTTAATTCATAGCCTGCCATAAGGCTGCATGCGCGCTATTGTTATAGTGCTTTGTACATGCGAGAGAGCTACCACTTGAGTGCCATGTGCGTGCAATGCAGCATTCGTAATAGCAGTTCATGCTCATTTGACTGTTTGCTGTGTATTTTGCACTCGCTATTCATAGAACCATCGCGTTAATCAGATTATCTCCAAAACAACCTGGCACGGGGGGATTTGGGGCTTGGCACAATGGGGATTATCCATGTGGCATGATAAGAGTTAAAAGTGAATTTGCAAGTTCACCATTCCCCGTTACCGTTACCGGATTATGTATCATCATCATCATGAAGATGCAAGGATTTATGAATTATGTAGTTGTTAGCGAAACTTGAATGTACGTTTGGTTAACGTTGATGGCAGGCTTTTTGCCCCATTACCTTCATTCTGTTTCTTATTCCGAATAAGTGTTATTTGTAAGCTCTGTTTCACTCTTAATATTAAACAAAATATTATGATATACAATAGAGAGAAGTGATGTATTGTTATTGGTATAATATTATCGATTATAAAGGACAATGAGCAATGAGGGTTTGAGGGTGCGTGATTTGAAGTTGTGAAGGCTTGTTTATACATAATATGAAATGGGCGTGGCACACAAGTTGTTCGTGCATAACTTAACCAGATTAGTGAACGGACATGAAAGTATAGATTGTAATTAAGCAGTAAGTTTTCATATATTGGTATTGTTGTTCATCACTTTGTATTCGAACCCTGCTTCTCATCCCGAATAGCTGCCGCTTCAGCTAGGATTTGGCATGTGCGCTGAGGGACAAGTCCTTTGTCGCGGCATCCTTCATTCTATTGTTTTGCTATCAGCTTTACAGGTTTTTTTTACCTTTATAAAAAAAAAGATGATAGCGTCTTACTAGATCAAGCAAGGAGTTGACATAACATACCCTATATATATATGTGTCTGATATAACCGTAACTCTCGGAAAAAATGATCTTTTATTTTGTTCTTGGACTCTTTATTGGGACCATAATTGCTGTAAAAGGATTACAGAAGCCATAAGATTTCGTACAACTTCCCTTTCAACAACAATGAATGGAAAATAGCATTTGGTTAGTCAGTTCTTTCTCAAATATCTGTGATATTATTGCTGTAACATTAATACAGATATAAACTTTTTTTGGTACCAATATCATGTCAACAAAACTCGGTATACTTCAATTTGATGTCGTATTCGTAGCCTGCAAGATCCTGTGTGTCGCAAGGAGCTCTCCGCAATTTCTCTTCCGTATTAGATCATTCCCATTTCGTCTTCCTCTTCTACTACTTAACATTCTTCTCCCTGTTTTATTTTGTTTTTATCCACGCTCGTCCGCCTCATCAAGGCTTTCATGGCACAAAGGGCAGGGTCTAAATAATTAATGGTGTCTCAGCACCGAACGTGTGACATTTCGAGCGGTGTTAATCCGCTGGAGACTTGTGGTGTATCGGACTGTCTCTACGAATAATCACCCTCTTCATGATCCCCTTGCACGCTTGCAACCATGGATGCGTTCCCGTTGCCTTGGTCATTGTTTCGTCCATGAACCTGTTTCATGCATACTATTTGTACCTTGATGACTCAAAAAGCTTGCCACAAGCTTACCTGTCATAGCAACAACTAATGTATGCACAGTAGATTGCTAGGTTTCGTTTAAGAACCTGTTTCATGCATACTATTTGAACAGTAGTTGATCTTGATGACTCAAAAGCTTGTCATAAGCTTACCCGGCAAAGCAACAACTAATGTATGGAAATTAGATTGCTAGGTTTCGTCCGAGAACCTGTTTCATGAATACTATTGAACAATGCTTGCTCTTGATGACTCAAAACCTTGCCAGAAATTTACCGGGCATAGCAACAACTAATGTTGCAAAGTATATTCCATCCATGGAGATACCATTACGCATAGCAGGTGAATTAATTGGTAACTAACAGATCTGGAGAGAAATTTGGATACATTGAAACTTATTAAACGGGACCGTTCACATCGTTTATTTTCGTCTATAAGATGTGATGGCTTAATGGAAAATTCCATAGTTTCGTAGCCTAGAAGCTTACGGGTTCGAAACAACTGCGATGTGCAACTGCCCTTTGATTAAACTTAATGAAATCCTATTTTCCAAGTCCTCTTATCATGCTTGTAGGATGTAACACAGAGGATAATCTGATTGTTAATGTACTATAAACAAAAGTGAAAAGGGCAACAACAATAGAAGTATAAAAAAAATCATTCCACATAGTCTATAATTACAGAGCTGTATGTCCAGATTGGCATATATCAATTGTTAAATCCAGTTTCCAAAGCGGTTAGAAAGACATTGATGTGTTTACATATTTCCCTCAGTCATTTACATGTGGCATTAAGCAAGACAGTGTGGAAACGAAAGTTTCTCCATAACAATATTACTTTATGTTTTTTAATTTTAACTTATGGGAGTGTTAACAGACCAACTCTCGATGTCATGACTTCACACATGCGATCAAGATGGTTGCCGTTCGGAAACATGAATTTTCACAAGTACCCCCAATTTGATCTGTACTATGAATGGGTGTCATGGGGTACCAGGGGTATGTAATGACTCCCTGGGTCCGAACAGAATCCCGTTTCCATCAACGTGCGTACAATTGGATTGCATCGAGTAGGGATACAGTTGAGCGTTGCAATCCAGAGGCTTATTACGAAGCGATCGTGAGACGAAAATGCATGTCAATATGTGAAGGATTGATATGTATTAGTAGGAAGAAGAAAATCCTAGCAGAAAAGAGGAAACAAAGATGCAGGGCTGAAGTTAATATAATTCCATAGTTCTATGATTTCAGTAAATAGGCAGCCCCTGAAGTTTCGGAACTGCTAATAATTATTCGACACCATTAATTCGGCAGTGAATTGTTTTCTCGCATTTCGATGACGAATTTAAGAAGTACTGTAAAATACAAGCCAGATAGATGTTTCAATAAATTTTAGATATAAACAATTGACACCTTTTGATCGTTAATAACTAAGAATTGTAATTTGTGGCAGACTAAGGTTTTTACATCGTAAAGAGGACGGATGTCAAATTAATTTCGAGTAGAGTATAGAACATTTCCTCGAATGCTCTTCTCAAAAAATGCTGGGAATATTCAATTAATTTTCACTTTTTGAAGGAAAAAAAAGAAACAACGCCACAATATCGGTGTGTATCAATGATTAATTCAGATATCGAAAAATACTGTAGGATAGAATTTAAAATTCCAATGCTCCTCTTTTAACCTACAGTCATGAATCATTAATGCCAATGGATAGCAAAACGTTAACAGAATGTACATGACATTGATGTATTCTGAAAAAATTACTGATACACAAACAAGAAATCATTGGCCTCGATTTGTCGAAAATTGGAAATGTAATAAAACATTCAGAAGCATTGTTCTAAGAATAACTTTGAAAGTCTAAATTCCAGTCGGTCTAATTCCCCGTATGTATAATGCCCATTACTTCTGCTATCCATATGGGCTAATAATTAGGCCTACTTAATCATAAATAGTAATAATCATAGACGAAAGGGGTATTAGAAAAAATGTAAATTGGGCTGACTGGTTAATAGACTCTATGAATAATAGACCTAATGGGGTGTAGACTAGTGAGATTAGACCAAATTGTAATTAAACCAAATGGCTATTAGCCTAAACCTTCATTAGACCAAATAGTAAGTAGACGAAATTATTATTGAATCATGCGGGTAGTATAGGCGCGCTGGGTGTAGGCCACGTTTGGGAATTTGGTTAGTAGACGAACTTATTGTAGACCAAACGGCAATTACCCCCCCCCCCCCAATATCATCCTTAGTAAGCGAATTTTGGAACGGCGACGCAAGTGCTGACTACGTGGTATTTAAATGAGCTCGCCACTCCGTAAAAGCTCGACTTCCGACGTTAATACAGCTGAATACCGTCGTAGGTTTAGACGCTACGCGAACATTTTCGCTCTGAGTGCGATCCCCCGCGAAATTAGCGTTTTAGAAGTACCCGTCGCCGGTTGCGAAAACTGCCTAATGTTATTATACTACACTAGCTATGTTAGAACTGTTCAAAGGCCACAGTCCTTATTTACTTAGGTTGGTCAAGATGAAGCTATCTTGGGGATGTTCAAAGACCACTCTCCTTACTTACTTAGGTTCAGCGCTCAAAATACACGGGGGCGATGGGCGATTCGCCCCCGTGAGCTCCATAATCGCCCCCGTCAGGTTGCCCACGGGGGCGATTGCAAAATAAAAAATCGCCCCCGTGGAATTATAAAAAAAGATTATCTTTTCTTTTATAACTTTAACACAATATTGAGTATCAATTTTCAAACCTTAAACCAATGAAATGGACGATGCTCCACATCGTATTTGGTTTACCCCCCCCCCCCCCCACCCTTAGCAAAAAGCTAGATCCGCCCCTGTGTTTTGGAAGTATATGGTAAAGACTAAAAGTAAAGAAAGAATGTAAATAAGGTTGCTCTGAATAATGAGGAGAACATTATGTGCAGAACGGGAATAAATGGAGAGAATGTCATCACGGGCAGGCGCGGATCCAGGATTTCTTAGGGGGGGGGGGGCAAATTTGAAATTATGCGAGCCAAATATTGGTACGTAATGGTGACCAGTATTGACGTAATGGGGGGAGGGGCGATTTTCCCACTCCCTCCTCCGCAAAGCGCCGAAGCTTTGACGTTTCATTAAATCATTAGTGAAAGAAGGCGATTCGTTGCCCGTTCTCGAAAATAATCCTCGTCTGAATTCAGTTTATCCCCTCCCCCCTCTTGCACGAAGCGCGGAAGCTTTGACGTTTCATTAAAGTATTAGAGAAAGAAGGCGATTCGTTGTACCGTTCTCGACTCATAAACTTCGTCTGAATTCAGTTTCCCCCTCGAGCGCGATATGCGGAAGCTTTGACGTTCCATTGAATTATTAGAGAAATAAGACGTTTCGTTGTACCGTTCTCGAAAATAATACTCGTCTGAATTAATTTTACCCCCCCCCCCCCCGTCCGCGCGAAGCGCGGAAGCTTTGACGTTTCATTAAATCATTAGAGAAAGAAGACGATTCGTTATACCGTTCTCGACTCTTAATTCTTGTCTGAAGCCAGCCCCCCCCCCCCTCTTGCACGAAGCGCGGAAACTTTGACGTTTCATTAAAGTATTAGAGAAAGAAGACGATTCGTTGTACCATTCTCGATTCTTAATTCTTGTCTGAATTCGGTTCCAACCCCCCCCCCCCTTCCGCGCGAAGCGCGAAACCTTTCACGTTTCATTAAAATTATGAAAGAAAGAAGACGATTCGCTGTACCGTTCTCGACTCGGCTCAAGGGTTTTAGGCACTAAATTACGGTCAGCTGAGTATCAAGGGGCCCGCCTTAGGGCCCTCGGTTGGGTCCAGGGCCAGAGCACCGGAAGCTCAGGGATTTTAGGCGTTTAATTACGGTTAATACCTTTTTTTGTTGTGACACTGGCAGTTAACTATTTTTTCTTACTTGCTCTCTTTCTTTCCATTTTTCTTTATACACTATTTCAAAAAAAGTGGAGGGACGTCAAGGCTCCCGATCCCAGCCGTTCCACGGGCCCTGACGTGTTTTTCCCTAGGCATCTCAAGAAGCATAGTTCTTGCCTGGCTGTAAATTTAGGAATTTGTCATTTTACAACAAACGCATAAAAAAGTATAATTTACTAAAAAATCTCGGAAAATTATGTCATTTCAGCATTATGTGTAAACCACCGTTATGGAATCAGAAATAAACCCCGTTTGAGTTTTATAACCCCCGAGCCCCCTCCCCAATCAGTACGCCAGTGCCCCCCCCCCCCGATTTACACTTTGTTGGCAATTGATCTCCCCTACGTTTTTTCTTTCTCTTTTTTTTTCTTTCCCTTTCTTTCCTCTTTCCCTTTCCTTTCCCTTCCTTCTCTCTCTTTTCACCCTTTTTTTCTTCTTCCTCTCTTTTGATCCCTTTTCGCTCTCCTTTTTTTCATTTTCCTTCCTTCTCTCTTTTTTTTAGCGGGAGCGGGGGGAGGCAAAGGCCTTTTGCCCCACCCCCATCCCGATCCGCAACTTGTTGGCGGGAAAAATTGCAACTGATATCCCCCTTCTTTTATTTACTTCTTTCTCAATTTTCCTTCCCTTTATTTCCTCTTTAGTGACTGGTCCCTCAGAAACTAGTGCTAAGCCAGTCACAGAGAATTCATGATTTCAACTGATGCCTGTCAGTGCATTGTAAATTTGATTTTTCTTCAAATTTCATTTAGAAATCTTTTCATATTGATAAATATGGTGCATTGGCGTATGGGCTATGGTTGGAGCGTTGGTGTATTATGTTGATTTATCATATTCATATTCTGAATATTTTCAGCGAATTGAATAATATTGAAAAGGATGCAATTCATGGTTGTACTCGATAATGCTCACTTAACATATTCTCTCTTTCTCTCTTCATGTCTTGCATAAAGAAAATATGAAAATAATATTTTGCCTTGATTAAGAAAAATTGAAATTTTATCAGTTTTAAACAGGGAGAAGTAGAGGGGAGGAAATTAATCAAAACAAACATTGAAGAATCCAATTCAGTGTTCTTTCGTGATTCATAAGAATGAAAGTACATTAAAAGGTGAAATAATAAATTGAAGAGCGATGATAAATCAATTCTTTGGCGTTGATTGATTGAACACAAAAATAATGAAACAATATGGTCTGAAGGTCATATATCTTCGAATATTAGAAAGTTTCATCCACCATCGTGTTGTTGAACACTATTTGCAATTTAATTTTACATACATACATACATACATATTGGTATTTATCTAGCGCCTTTACATGAACATGCAATTTTAATGCGGTGACTTGTCGGTTACGAGCAGCAGGTCATTTCAGGCTTCTATATTCTATAATACTATCAACAGATACATGTATCTGGATAGAGACACCTCGTCACATCAAGCTACGAGAAAGTATATCATCATCTCACAGAATTCTACTCGAACACCGCATCGAAATTCTTTTCACCCTTTTTTTTTCTTCTTCCTCTTTTTTGGTCCCTTTTTAGCCCTCCTTTTTTCCTTTTCCTTCCTTCTCTCTCTTTTTTTTTAGCGGGGGCGGGTGGAGGCAACAGCCTGGGAGGCAAGGCCCTTTCGCACCCCCCGGATCTCCTTCTTTCCCTTTTCTTTTCTTCTTCCTCTTCTTTCTTTCCCTTTCTCTCCTCTTTCCCTTCTCATTGACGGGTAAACTTTTTTTTCTCAATTACTTGGTCTATAACCATGAAAACCGTCTAATTTTACTTTAGATTTTCAAACAGTAACAGTTACGACCTAAATTAGGCCTAAGGCCAAGGGCTGTACTCTACATTTTAATAACAAATTTAACGTTAGCGTTAGACTTAACTTTAACTGTTGTTTCTCTGTGATACAAGTGGGATGGGAACACTTTATTTTTTCCTTCTTTTTTTTCCTTCTTCCCCCCCCCCCCCCCCTGGATCCGCCACTGATCACGGGGATAAAAGTATACAGCTATGTAACAAGTATGTAACAAATTTCTAAGAGGGAAAATTCCGACTTAAAAAAAGGATAATGATAAAATACCAAGGAATTTAGGAGTTTCATGGGTACCAATTCAATGGAAATTTGTATTAAAATAAGAGCCCCCGTCAACACTAAAAGAGCCCCCGTGAGAAGGCTCACGGGGGCTCTTTTTTGAGGGGAAGAGCCCCCGTGGACAAAAAATTAATTTGAGTCCTGCTTAGGTTGGTCAATACTTACTTAGGTTTGTCAAGATGAAGCTATCTTGGGGCTGTTCAAAGACCACTGTCCTTACTTACTCAGGTTGGTCAATATGAAGCTATGTTAGGATTGTTCAAAGACCACTCTCCTAACTTACTTATGTTGGTCAAGATGAAACTATGTTAGGACTGTTCAAAGACCACTCTCCATACTTACTTAGGTTGGTCAAGATGAAACTATGATTTGACTGTTCAAAGACCACTCTCCTTACTTACTTATGTTGGTCAAGATGAAGCTATGTTAGGACTGTTCAAAGACCACTCTCCTTACTTACTTGGGTTGGTCAAGATGAAGCTAAGACCACTCTCCTTACTTACTTAGGTTGGTCAAGATGAAGCTATGATTGGACTGTTCAAAGACCACTCTCCTTACTTACTCAGGTTAGTCAAGATGAAGCAATGTTAGGAGTGTTCAAAGACCACTCTCCTTACTTACTTAGGATGGTCAAGATGAAGCTATGTTAGGACTGTTCAAAGACCACTCTCCTCACTTACTCAGGTTGGTCAATATGAAGCCATCTTATGACTGTTCAAAGACCACTCTCTTTACTTACTTAGGTTGGTCAAGATGAAGCTGAGGTTGGACTGTTCAAAGACCACTCTCCTTATTTACTTAGATTGGTCAAGATGAAGCTATGTTAAGACTGTTCAAAGACCACTCTCCTTACTTACTTAGGTTGGTCAAGATGAAGCTATGTTAGGAATGTTCAAAGGCCACTCTCCTTACTTACTTAGGTTGGTCAAGATGAAGCTATGTTAGGAATGTTTAAAGGCAACTCTCCTTACTTACTTAGGTTGGTCAAGAGGAAGCTATGTTAGGACTGTTCAAAGACCACTCTCCTTACTTACTTAGGTTGGTCAAGATGAAGCTGTTGTTCACCTGCACGCGAACCTCAAAGCCCATCAGTTGGAAAGGACTTCCGGTGCTGTTGCTTTGGACGTTGTACTTGATCATGCCTCGACGGAAGCCGACACTCTTCGGATCGTCCGTTGTCACATCCTGGTCAAAGATACCGACTGTTTGAATAAATAAATTTAAAAAATCAATAATTGATTAAAGTTTAACTTTTTCTTCTTCCTCAAATAAGCACCAGTTTTATGCACTGAATATCACAGAAGACATATTTAATAAAGCAAACTTCTAAACACAATTGTTTTCATTGTGGTTGTGCGACCCATGTTATAACCGAATTCCTAACTTAAGCCCTGGACCGAAAACTATAGCATTAACATAAATTCTTAAACAAACCACAAACCTAATTGCAGCTATAACCGTAACCCCATACTTTTAATACTTACTTACGGAGCAAATGTATGTAGGAGGCCGATATAAAGGCCTATATATATATATAATAGAACAAATAATTTGATTTTGACAATCCTCCGTCATGGCAATATACAAATAAACATTCGAAATAAAAAATCCTTGAGAGTTTTCTTCTTTACTAACAAACAAAAGGTCATAGTGAAGCAGAGAACTCTCTTGCATTTTCATTTCAATTGTTTTAATTATTTGTATAAATATATATATGAATATACATATTCATACACATATATATTTTGATAATCTACAGACTACATGAAGATCTGCATTACTGGAAATTAATAAGCGTATCGAGGAAAATATCACCGGATCAACGGAATCAATCCCCGGACAACATCCCTAATTAGAAAACTATTCCAAAGGGTAACCTACTTGTTTACACTACGGACATGGCGGGGTAGTTCCCTAGGGCAGTGGTCGAGATGGTAGTCCCATTTAAGTAGTCCAATGACATTTGACTGGACTGATAACCAAAACAAACTATACTTCTTATCAAAAGTTTCATCACATTATCCTTGTTCGTTAACTTCAATGTTTTGAACGCGTATCAGTAAAAAAAATGTGACCGTTTAAATTCATTGTAATCATATACAATGTTATATGGGGTCAAGGGGCCTGAATTAAAGGGGTAATATCCATTAAATAAGTTTTAGATTTTCTTGAGTATAATGCTAAGGGTACAATACATTTTCGAGGCCATAAAACGATATATCCTACAAGGGCTACCTTGCTTTGAGTTATATAATTTCTGTACGCTGCTCCAAATAAAGCTATTTTGGTCCGATTCTTTATAAAACGACCCCCTCCCCCCCCTTCCACACACACACATACAGACACAAAATCTGACTGTCCATATGTCAGTCTACCCATTACAAAATGTTCCGCCTAGTCTACTTAAGATAGAAGCCCATTCCGGCAGTAAAGCATGACTCTATCGTATCGTAACACCGTTGAAGTTAGCGAGTGCTATCAAGCAAACGTTCCACTTCGTATTTTATTCGAAATCTCGTATTATCATCATGATAATGAGTCCAATTTTCCATCATTCTAATAATATTCCGTAGCTGTGAGCTCATCCTTCCATCGGGTGTATCATTATTGTTCGTTATTATACGATCGGCTAAATTGATATTCGGGAGGCATTGGCAAAGATTTATTGATTTCCCCATGGATCATCAACTATTCATGAACTAATCATGGGTTTATTCCCACTGTCGGGACGTGACTTAACTGGAGATTTGATCTACTTGGTTGGGTATTATCATGATTATAAATCATATTAGTCTACACTCCCCTCGTTCTCGCTCACTCCTCTTTTGCTCTCTCTCTCTCTCTCTCTCTCTCTCTCTCTATCGCTCTCTATCTCCATTTCTCTCTCTTTCTTTCTTTCTCTCTCTCTACCCTTCTCTGTCTCTCTGACTGACTCTCTTTTCGTTTCTCCGCTATCTTCATCTAGGTACCTGTTTGTCTCTTTGAGCATTATTTGTCAGTATCATGAGTTTCTCTTAACTCTTTTCCAATAATTTATTTTTCAGCGAATTAAAGGCAATCATTAAAAGTAGAAATGTGGTACAGGTGAGGAATAGAATCCCCTGCACCATTCATTCACCCGATAGAAAAACAGCTCCTTTGTTCTATAATAACGATTCAATTTGTAAACGGGGTAAATAAAGTCCTTTTTAAAACCATGCGTCCTACATTTCACTTCTCCAAAACTTTATTCGAATGCATGGATTTGGTTAGCACTTCACGACTTACAATTCAAGATAAATAATACGATTCTAGAAAGAAGAAAACATTAATAACGATATGGCAGTATGGCAGATATCGCAAACATGCGAACTTCATATCTAAAGTAGATTATTAAGAAACAGTCAGAAAAACAACAACATAGGATTTGAAAACGACGCACTTCCACATCTTTAGTCCAAATCGTTTTGTTTGATAAAACATTTTTCCAGTTTTTAGCTGGTTGACAGTGCCCTTCTCGATGAGGAAAGAAAAAATTATGAAGGTTTATTGTGCCAGATACATGTATGTTCATTATTCTGGAAACGGCTGAATGTATACATAGGCACCATTAACGGATTTTTTAGATAAACTTTGTCATATTTTTAAGGTTAATTTTCAAGATGTCATTGCAATCATCAGAACTACGAATGGGACTAGATAAAGTCTCCACTTCATGTGAGGAGTAACAACTCAATTAAAAGTGTAAGAAAACATTTGTAACAAAACTTACATATCGTGATTTGGTAGCCGGCAGATGCAACGTAAAGAAGACTCGATATGATACAAATCATAAGGTGAAGCTTCTCTTGTTGAAAAGCCATACTTTCCAAGTTCAAAAATACGCTTTAAAATTAACCGACTTCAAGGCGTGTTCCAGTTGCAGAATAGAAATTGTCCAAGTTTTCGTAACCAGTAGATGCAGTGGATGCAGATGATGGCGTTTCATGAAATACAAAACCAGAACGAGGCCTCACGACAAGTGTTTCCTGCCACCGATCACCCCAGTCCGACGAATATGTGTCATATGAAGTTTATCGGGTGTTGTCGATGTATACTGTATTCGTATAAAGAGTTTGAAAATGTCAGATTAGTTCCACAAATTAAATCTTATAGAAGAAGAAACTCCACTTTCGGATGATACCTCCTATTGCTTTCATATAAATGGCGAGTGTTCAAAGGATCATCATATGCAGCAACAGAGCATTGATTGGATCAACTGACTGCTAGGTGAGGTGTTTGGTAAAATAGAAATCAAAACACGCCAAGTAATGATCTATCAGGTCGATTAGATGATTTGCGTTGTGATCGCTTCAAACCTTTTATCTTGGTTTCAGAACGTCAGCGAGATGGATGACTATACACTTCCCACAGACACTCTCCACAAACAGCTGTTAAAATCTTCCTCTCCAAGTTTAGTATACTGTTAAAGGAGGGGGTGAAGGGGGGGGGGAGTATGTAGCACACTTCTTCGGAAACCGCAAAGCGAAATTCAGAAATGATGCATTGATTTTGTAGAAGGTGAGAAAAGGGATCAAATGCAGGAGGTAAACCTCGTCGAGGGTTCGAGCGCTCTGATGTGCTATAAATAATTGTCGAGACGATCCACTGTGTCACATTAGTGTAGCTCCTCAAAATATTGCTGCATTACAAACAACAACACAAATCAAAAACAAAAATATCCGGGTGTCATGAAAGAAATAAACGAGCATTATCTTACGAGCAGATGACTTGTGTGGCTTCAAATAATTAACGATTGGATCATTAACCGAGTAATGAAGTATTGAGGAGAGATTGAATATGAATGCGTACAAAAATTGAATCCAAGCACCGATCGAAAATAATTCGAAAATGTCCTCATGAAATGGGATCAAGCACGCATTTCTTTCAGACCTGGCAAAAAAGGATTGAATTATGTTACCAGCAGATCCACGAGTTACATCGTACGGTGATAATCAGATCTAAGCAGGCGCGATGGAAATGTTTCGTTTCCCTTTCTTCGATCCTCATGCCTTGCAAGTGAATTATTCCAGTCACTTACTCTCATATTCGATCTTCATCACCTTCTCATCTTCTCTTCCTCTCTCTCTTTCTCTCTCCCTCTCTATTCCTCTCTCTCTCTCTCACGTTGATGGTGATAGAGGCGAAGTGAAACGATCCGTGAATGATGAGCTGCGCTTTACCGAGCCTCGATATCTCTCGCCCGCCGCGTCTCACCCGGGGAATTATTCTCCGGCAAATCACGCTCTTCTGCCGAAAAAAAACTTTTGCAATGACTTTAGTTGATGACAAGGGTTCGCATACAATCATGTATCAGTTCTCTTTGGGGGCGCCCATTTTGGTCGGGGGCCATGGGGTCGGTGATCAATTATGCAGACTTGGTTACTTTTGAATCCCCCAATGAAGAATAAAAGAAGTATAAAGAAAAAGAAAGATACAGAAAGAAAGAGAGAGAAAGAGATAGAGAGAGAGAGAGAGAGAGAGGGAGAGAGAGAGAGAATTAGAGGTAGGTGAAGTACGCAAAGATAGAAAGATGGGGAAGATAAATTTTATATTGATCATGCTAACTGTTATATATGGATGACGTCATACGATGACCCACAATTGTAAAGCTGCGCATGCGCCTTGCGCAATAAACTTGCTTTGGAATCTTATACCATGAGTATCAAACGTGTGCTATTATCTGTCTTGAGTATTCATCTGTGTACCTCAAGTAAGAGTACATAACAGCTATTTTGGCGACGAGGATAAACTTTGTGTTTTATTCTACTTTTTGGTAAAGCTTTGATACCCAGGAATGGCTACTTTCGGAACAATTGGTGAATTTCGGGAGGACGAAGGGAGTTGGTCCCAGTACATTGAACGTATGGGGCACTACTTCGACGCCAACAGCATCGTGGATGGGGGACGAAAAAGATCCATCTTACTAAGTGTATGTGGAGCTTCAACCTACAAGTTGATGTCAAGTTTGACAGCACCAAGAAAGCCGGGGGAAGTTGACTTCCAAGAACTTGTTGAATTAATGACTGACCATCGGGATCCAAAGCCCTCGGTGATTGTTCAAAGGTTCAAGTTCAACAGTCGTGCTAGAAAGCCGGAGGAATCAATTTCGACTTATATTGCAGAGCTTCGACGAGTAGCAATCGAATGTAAGTTTGACACCATTTTGGATGAAATGTTGAGAGATAGAATTGTGTGCGGGGTGGCGGATGATCGTATACAGAGACGATTATTGGCAGAGCCGACATTAACATTCGAGAAGGCAAAAGACATCGCCTTGGCAATGGAGTTGGCAGATAAAAATACGGCGGATCTACGAGAACAAAATCAGAGAAGCGACATGGTAAACAAAATCGCTTTTGCTGGTGGCCGTCGTATGCCAACGCAACGCCAGTTTTCAGAGAAACATTCTAGGTGTGGTCGATGCGGTGAAGGACCCCACAAACAAGGCGCGGACTGTCCGGCGATAGATCGAGACTGTTTCCGTTGCGGCAAAAAGGGTCACTACGTAGCGGTTTGCAAAGCCAGGGGAACGAAAGAGGACAAAAGAAAAGTCACTCATCAGCAGCGGAAACAGGCCAGTTCCAACAAGTCCCGCACCTATCAAATAGCAGAGGAAGAAGAGGAGGAGGAAAGCGAAACATACGGGTTGTTTCAACATTCCGTGAATAAAGCAAAACCTCCGCCGTACATGACGAAACTTTCTGTGAAAGGAAAGGAAGTTAACTTTCAAGTAGATACTGGCTCAGCGGTTACCATAATAAACGAAGAAACATGGCTCTCACACTGGAGTGAGAAGGACAGACCCATTCTCAATGACTCAACAACCCGCCTACGCACTTACACCAAACATTTAGTCGATATTGTTGGGGAATGTGAAGTCACCGTTTGCTATGAAAACCAGACGGTACGCGTGTGTCTAATCGTGGCGAGAGGGGGTGGGCCAAACCTCATGGGACGAGATTGGCTAGACGTCATTAGGTTGAACTGGAGAGAAATCTACTTGGTCAAAGTCGAAAATGACGTCTCGAGTTTGATCGCAGACTACAATGAGTTGTTCGCACCAGAACTCGGGAAGTTGAAAGGTGTGGAAGTTGACCTGGATATCGACGAAGGAGCTTCGCCGAGATTCCTAAAGGCCCGACCAGTGCCGTTCGCACTGCGAAATAGGCTGGATGAGGAACTGGATCGCCTACTAGCGAATGACATCATAGAACCAGTTCAATATTCGAACTGGGCGGCTCCAATAGTTCCTATAGTAAAAGGAGACGGATCAATCAGGGTTTGTGGCGACTACAAAACAACCATAAATTCAGCCGCTCGTTCCGACACCTATCCTATACCTCGAGTAGAGGAGCTGTTTGCAAGGCTCGCAAACGGAAAGCAATTCTCAAAACTGGACCTCTCACACGCATATCAACAATTGGTCCTGTCGGAGAAATCGAGGGAGTTGGTGACCATCAATACCCACAGAGGACTTTTCCGCTATAAGCGACTGCCATTTGGCGTATCGACAGCGCCCTCAGTGTTCCAGCGGACTATGGAATCGTTGCTGGCTGGCATTCCAGGCGTGGCAGTTTACTTAGATGACCTGCTCATCACAGGAGAGTCAACGGAAGAACACCTAAAGAACCTAAAGCGGGTATTGGACGTTCTTCACGAAGCAGGGTTACGCTTGAAGAAGGAGAAATGTGCGTTTCTCAAGGACGAGGTTGATTACCTCGGCCATACTATCACGGCGAAGGGTCTACATCCGACGGGGGACAAGGTGGAAGCAATCACCAAGGCACCAGAGCCAACAAACGTGAAAGAGCTCAGGTCTTTCCTCGGGTTGCTGAATTATTACGGGAAATTTATGCATGACCTCGCTTCTACATTGGAGCCTCTACATCGATTGTTGAGAAAGGAGACAAAATGGCAGTGGGGCAAGGAGCAAGGAGATGCGTTCGCGAGAGCCAAAAAGCTACTCCAATCAACGAGGGTATTGACCCATTACGATCCGAAAGAACAGTTGATACTAGCTTGCGACGCTAGTCCGTACGGCGTCGGAGCTGTTCTCGCACATAAGTTTTCGGATGGATCCGAAAAACCGATCGGATTCGCGTCGCGAACCCTAAACTCAGCGGAGCGCCGATATTCGCAGCTAGATAAAGAAGGATTAGCAGTAGTTTTCGGCGTGAAGCGGTTCCACCAGTACCTATATGGTCGGAAGTTTGACATAATAACCGACCATAAGCCGCTACTTGGACTCTTCGGTGAAAAGAAAGCTATTCCGCAGATGGCTTCTCCGCGCGTCCAACGGTGGGCGATTACGTTAGCAGCATACGAATATCGCATAACGTACAAGGCGGGAGAAGAAAATGCTAACGCGGATGCACTCAGCAGACTACCTCAAGAGTCAACAATCGGGGATCCTCCCGTCCCAGGAGATATCGTTCTACTGATGGACATCCTCGAGAAAACACCTATCACGCCCTCACGCGTCCGTATAATGACCGATAAGGATCCAGTCTTATCACGCGTTCGAAATTTCGTCATGCATGGATGGGTTTCTTCGCATGAATTGAAAGACGAAGCGTTCGGTCCGTATCTGAATCGTAAAGATGAGTTGAGTGTACATGAAGGAGTACTGTTATGGGGAGCTCGCGTGGTGCTGCCCCCAAAATGCCGGGATCAGATGATGGAGGAGCTACATGATGCTCACCCCGGAATAGTCCGAATGAAAACAAGTGCGCGAGGTTGCGTATGGTGGCCGCAAATTGACAAAGATTTGGAGCGAAAAGTGAAATCTTGTGAAAAATGTCAAGCACACCAACGACAACCATCGAAAGCACCGCTACATCAATGGGAATATCCCAGCAAGCCGTGGTCGCGAATTCATGTAGATTACGCAGGCCCGGTAGAAGGTAAAATACTTCTCGTAGTAATTGATGCGTATTCGAAGTGGATGGATGTTCACATCACTACGAAATCGACAAGCGAAGCGACAATAGAGAAATTAAGAGAAGTTTTCGCAACACATGGCCTACCCAACACGCTGGTTTCCGATAATGGGCCCTGTTTCACCAGTGATGAATTCGCCAAATTCATGAAGATGAACGCAATAAATCACATCAGAGGAGCGCCATACCACCCAGCTACAAATGGCCTCGCGGAGAGAGCCGTGCAAACTGTGAAAGGAGCCCTCCGAAAAATGAGTGGTCCCCTTCACACTAGGTTATCGCGGTTCCTGTTAAGTTACCGTACAACACCGCAAGCTACTTCAAAGCAATCACCGGCAGAGTTGCTAATGAATCGTAAACTGCGTACTCGCATTACGTCAGTTCTGCCAGATGTGAACGCAACCGTAGAGAAAAAGCAGTTCGCCCAAAAGATCGCTCACACTACTCACGCCCTTCGCGAATTCAATGTAGGCGACGACGTCCTTGTGAGAAATTATGCTCGAGGCAACCAATGGTTACCCGGTAAAATAACCGACCGTACCGGTCCAGTATGTGGTCAATGTCAGTGTCGACGGTGCGACACTAAAATGGAAGCGTCATGTTGACCAACTCCGAAGTCGAGTTTCCTCATCGACCGCGCGGAAACAAGACTACGCGAACGAAGGTGTTGTCCCTACACTCGATGAAGATGATGTTATCAATTCTGATAACGATAATAATGATCGCGAAGATTATCACGAAGATCAAGTAGACATCCGCGAAGCTCGCGAAGACGACTTCGACGAAAACCGCGACGTCAATCGCGATGCCGGTAGAAAGGATTACCCTAGACGAGAGCGAAGAAAACCAAATTACTATGGATTTGAATAATTTTGGACTGATGCAAACTGCTAATCAGGTTTTAATTCTAAGCAATAAAACCATATCTCACTTGTTTCATATATTTGAAATAATAGTCAATAAAAGGAATTGATGCCTTTACTCATTTGGTTAATTTTTAAGTTTATAGAAATTATTTGATATAAAGTTAATGTACAAGCAAAAGTATACTCAACTTGTTGAAAAAGTGGATTTGCAAACTGTTTATTTGTTTAATCATAGTTTGGATTACCTAACATTTCATACCTACGATATTTGTTGTTTTTACAATTACTGTTTTATAATTTTAAGAAGGGGCTTTAAAACTAAGGGGGGAGAGATGTTATATATGGATGACGTCATACGATGACCCACAATTGTAAAGCTGCGCATGCGCCTTGCGCAATAAACTTGCTTTGGAATCTTATACCATGAGTATCAAACGTGTGCTATTATCTGTCTTGAGTATTCATCTGTGTACCTCAAGTAAGAGTACATAACACTAACCATTTTGATAAACACATCATTCGTTTTTTTTTCTACAGTCGTACAATGCATTGTTCTCCCTATATTTCTAAATAATATTTCTCTATCTACTTTTTATAAATCCAGCCCATTATAAAAGCTTTCTCTTGATCTCTTTAACCCACAAAACGCACAATACACATTGAGAAATCAACTCTCTCTCTCTTTCTCTCTCTCTCTCTGTCTGTCTGTCTCTCTCTCTCTCTCTCTCTCTCTCTTCTCTTTCTGTTTCTGTCTCTCTCTGTGTTTGTCTCTCTAATTTTCTTTCTATCTCTATGCATCTCCCTCTCTCTGTGTGTCTTTATATGTCTGTTGTCTGTCTGTTTCTCTCTCTCTCTCTCTCCCTTTATCTCTCTCTCCCTCTTACCTCTCTCTCTCTCTCTCTCCCCCCCCCCCCCCCCCCCCTCCAACCGTCCACTTTTTTGCTCTAGTTTTCTTTCTATTTTTGCTCTCCTTTCATTGTGTCGTATATTCTCATCCTTCATCAGTTTATAATGACTCACAGATTACATCAATATCAAACTTTATGGGAAATCCTGCCAGACCGACCAAGCCGGCTTTTATTCGAATTTTATCTTTTTGAACAATCTTGAACAATCTTGTTATATAAATGCCATCTAATAAAGGTTTTGAACATCAAAATAATTTCAGTTTTTAAACTCATTCTTGATTTTAAAAATATCAAATGAAAATATTCTTAATATTGCATAATTTCAATCTCAATCGTCCATGTTTACACCTAAATATATACTGACGGTGTATAGAACATTTGCAAAATATTAATTTTAAATGCTTTGATCCGTAACCTGCATGGGGCTTTGCTTTTTTGCCCCACGCCCGGACCGATTCCCTAGGTTGAAAAAACAGAGATAAACTAAATAAGGCAAATGATCTGGAAAAACCTAATGGCAAATCGTCACAATAAAAATAATATATTTGAATCTCTATACCTCCTACAAAAACAAACATCAAACTATTGTTCTTTATTAAAATTTTCACTTGAAATTTGTGTCCTGTTTCTAGTGTCTGACAAAGCTAGAATGGCTACCATGCCCATTTCCCTCTCTTATTATGCCTTTCTGAACATTCCTTTCCTTCTCAATACAATAACTTTCACCTGCCTATATTCAAACCCTTCCGCCTCGTGGGATCGTGGCGTCTCGCCACTCCCATTACGTAATCGTTAAAAGGATCCGCATATACAACATTTTCCTGCTATACGTTGTACCGCAGGAAAATACAATTATCTTCTGTTGAACGTTCCCCTTTTGTCTAACCCCAAAGCTATTTCATTCAATATTTTGCCTATGAGACTTATTCGCTCGTTACAACATTTATATATATCTTTGGATTTAAAGTGTAATGCCATCCTTTCCAACATTCATGCTATCGATCATAATTATAATCTCTTTTATTTAAAGTTGGTATAAACATTTCATTAGGCCATTAGTTACAGATACTTATTAAAATAATAATGAGTAAATAACATGAGAAGAAAATATCAGAATATTGTGATATTTGGAATATACGTAAATCATACATTTAATATCTTAGCTTATAAAATTCAGCTGTATATCCTTGTTTGTCTCTTCAAAATAACACCCATATAATAAAAACACAAGAAATCCCATTTGATATATGAAAATTGGTACTTGTTTTTACAATATACCATGTATATAATCGTTGAAAAAGACTATTATTTCGTGTATGCTGCCCTCTTGGAGTACGTCATCGTCATCTAATCGTTCAATGCACTGCTAAAAAAAAATACAATTAACACCTCAAATATTTACTAGGAAATACCTAAACCAAGTAAAATATAGAATGCAACGTGTTTCATTAGTAAACATATAAGTAAGCAGTAACATTTAGTAAACAGTAACATATCACTTCAACCGACGCGACATATAATTTTTGAAAAACGTTTATTGATGTCATCGCCATAATTCTATTTAATACTATGAGGCCTATCATACAGGAGAGAGAGAGAGAGGGGTGAGAGAAGGAAACAAAGGAGCAAAATAGACAGAAAGAGAGACAGACAAACAGATACAGGCAGAGAGAGAGAGAGAGAGAGAATGAGAGAGAGAGAGAGAGAGAGAGAGAGAGAGAGAGAGAGAGGGGCAAACTAGGCTATTGCATTCCCCAATCAAATATAATTTGTAGTGTGACTTTATGCAACTTTGATTGTTTCTTTATATAAACATGTAAGTATTTATCAATGTTTTGCGTTTAAAAGTGATTTTTTTTTTGTATTACTGAATCAGTTATTGTTATTGTTGTTGTTTTTTTCTCATAAAATAATAATTCATAATAATTACTTTTACAGGGGGGCTTACACCCTACAAGCTCTGCTCTTTAGTCGGCCGTTCTTCCCTTTCAATTTCATGTTTATTTTGTAATGTATTGTATTGTGCAAATCGATCTATATGTATATAATTACGTAACAAATCGATCTATAAAATTATGTATATAAATATGTAACAAATCGATCTATATGTATATAAATATGTAACAAATCGATCTATATGTATATAAATATGTAACAAATCGATCTATATATATATATAAATATGTAAATATGTTAAAATGTACCATCTTTGTAAATATAAACGATTGGAAGAGGAAAAATAAAAGAATTGAATTCAATTCAATTCAATTCAATTGAACAAAGACAGGCAGAGAGAGAGAGAGAGAGAGAGGAAGGTGGATGGGAGAGAGAGAGAGAGAGAGAGAGAGAGAGAGAAAAAGAGAGAGGGAGGAAGGTAAACAGAGAGAAGGAAAGCGGGGGAGGGCGCACAGTCATGATAGACAAAATGAAAATGAGGAGACAGAAAAGAAATGGGAATGAAAACCGGCAAAAATATGAGCATGAAGTTTATGTACCAAAAATGTACCCGTCTGAGTATACAATGTATATCAAGATATTACTTTATAAATCATTATCAGTAAATTATTTCCGCCTTAACTGATTGCACCTTGGAAGCGATATCATGATTTTATACAAACAATATTTTGGCACATTAGCTGAGATCAATTATTACATACATGTAAATCAAATTAATTGAAAGCTAATTAAACGGCTTAATTACTTGAATGAAAGCGACTCCGTAGATTTACTCTTTAAAACTTGTTGATCAGTCATTAAATAGACATTCAATTTCAAGAAGAACATAATTACTACGGTCGTAGAGACTGAGAAGAAAATAAACGAAGACAATGCCAATAATCTAATTAACCTTGCGGACTACCTTTACGAATATGCGAAATTTTATAGTAACGTATAATGTAAATCGGCAATACAATAAAATATTGAAGTATAATCGAATTTAAAGACCGTCAGTACTAGTTTGGCTAGGAGGGATTAGACCACATAGCGAGGTCACTGACAGGTGGCTATCTCATCAACTCAGCTCTCAAATAACATAATAAATAGAGGATCATGGGGGACCAACCGGCACCGATTGGGGAAGTTTTATATATAGAGGGGGCAAGTAGCTACAAGTAGGACAGTGGGGCTTTAATTCCTGAGAATATGTGTGACCGTTTTATAAGTGTGTGTGTTTTTTTTTTTAATGAGATAAATTCAATAAAAAGAGACTATAGTAATTCTCATTGTATCACGGAAAATCCAATGAAGTCATAAATTCATTAGCCCCAATGCGCACTCTACGGCAGGAAAAGGTTATACTCATCTTCATTCTTTCTTTTCCCTGTAGGAAAGTTTGACGTAAGTACATGTATTACATCAAATAAGCTTGGTTTGATTCCAAAATGAAAAGGCCCTCTGTTTGAATGCCACACTGGAACCCATTTGTCCGATTGAGATCTATCATGGTCCAAAGTATATTTCCCCATGCGTACATGTCTGGGGGAAGCGACAATCTATGAGCAATAACTAAATTAGTATCGAGTGTGATTTATTTAATTACTTTTGTAGACTTGATTTTATGTTCACCTGCACAATCCTAGTATACATTAAGTGTATGATTCAACGCTCCATGTAATATTAATTCTTTTCAACTCTTAACACTAAAAAGCCGGGCTATTTGAGGATCTCGGCCGCGAAGCGACCGATCGCCGCGAAAATTTGCACGCATGTCAAGTGAAGTGTATAGAATAATATGATAATTTCAATTTTTGAAAAATTCACTCATTTGCATATTTATGGTAATTTATGTAAATAAAGTCATAAAAATCACATTTTTACCCATAAATCATA